GGCGATAAACTATCCGCAACACGCAATTTGCCATCATAGATGAATTTCTCAGACGATATCGAGTCGAGTGTAAGCACGGAATGATGTGGGTTGGGGGATGTTGTAGTGAGCAAATGTCTTTGTCTTATAGGTGATGTTGGTGCTGATGGCGTCGAGTGTATTGATGGTGATAATGTGGGAGATAGCGTAAGCATGTTGGTGTTGGCGTTGGTGTTGGTGGTTTGGTTGTGTGTGTATTTGTCATGAAGAAGAAACTTGTCCGATGATGGTGATTGCAAGTCGGCATTGTTGAATTCAAATAGATATGTTGGCGATTCAGTTCCATTAGGCTGTGATTGTGATTGTGGTTGTGGTTGTCGTGATGTTGGTGAAGCGACTCCAATGTCGTCATTGTTGGATGACGAGGAGGAGGAGTTCGACGATGGTGAGTGGTCAAATTTATGCAACAAGTTACCTAGGGATCCGGTAGTATCTTCCCTATTTGACATATCTCGCGAGTTTTCCTCTGGAACAATATCCAATTGAGATGAAGAATGGGGCATTCTGTTAGGTACTCTTTCTGGTGATGAAGTAGGAGCTAATGTCTTGTACTCGACTATATTCCCATCTGAATCCAATCGATGAATATTTTGCGATGAGTTATCGTGCTGGAGCAATGCATTCAATGAGTTATTACTCATAAACGCATTGTTTGCTGATGAAAGCTCCGAATCACGCTGTACGTGATCGTCAACTAATCGTACTGAAAACAACTGCTCGGTATTCACTGTTGATAAAGAAGCATCGCTGTGTCTCGTCAAGTTTGCCGGAGTTACAATTGCTTTATCGTCTGATTCCCCATTTGCTCGCCAGCTCTTCATAACTGGTTGTTGTTGCTGATTCTCATGGGTATCATAAAACGACTCATCATTACTATCGACATGGGTTAAAGTTGAAGTTGAGGAGTTGGCTGATACTCCCTCCAATTTCATTAGATTAACTTGTGATTCATTCTTTGGATCAATAGGGAAGATTGTAGCACCACCAGCACTAACACCACCAACACCAACTGCAGTTTTAGCCCCACCTGGTACTCGGGTAGTTTCTGACGAATCAGTTCTCTTTTCATCATCGGAATCTTGTTTATCTTTTCTCCTTTTATAGCAACAGCAGAATATAACAAAAGCAGCCACCAAAATGAGAAACACTGGAATACCAACACCAAGCCCAATGGCTAAATCTCTATTCCTGTGCGAGTTGTGAGACGCACTGGAAGTCGATGTTGCATTATTTGAATCGTCGGTGGCCGAAGCAGCAGCAGTACCAGTTCTCGAGGATGACGATGAAGTCGATGTCGAGCTTGAACTTGATGTGCTTGACGTGACCACCTTGTTGACACCCAATATGTTAAAGCTTTTCTTCTCGTCTTCTGAATCCAATTTACCTTCAATTGAAACTTGCAACTCATCAAAATTCTTTGGCGTCATTCCATTCAAGGTCTTGTTATCTTCGTGGTAAGAAAGCCAGTTTGCATTGCTATAATCAACATTGACATCAGTGTCATTAATGTTTGTGAATATCGAATTCATTATTTGGTACAGGAACCATTCACCCTTTGTCGCATTGACGTCGTCAAGTGACTTGACTGTGAATACGGACCCAATGGCAGCAAAGGAATAAGGCAAGTCAACGGTATTTCCAAAAGTATCTTTTACGGTTATTGAAAAATTGTCAAATGTCGAAGTGTTTGGAAACAGCCCGCTAATCACATAATCATTGTCATCAAACGTCAAGTAGGTTGGTAAGTTATCCGCATCAACTTCAGATATATTCTCTTTGGAAATCAATTGACCATCAAGATAAACATGCGACAATATTGGTACCAGCGCATCCACATCTTGTCCAAAAGTACCATTAATCTTGATGGTATTGTTCAAATCAGTTTCTAGCTGGTGACCACCAACAACGAGTTTGAAAACACTTGAAGCACCAGCATAGCCATAATAATCACTAGCAATGAAACTGAAGCCATACTCAAAAGAAGGTGCATTTTCAGACGTGACATCTGGAACAGTTCCAGAGAAGGTAAGTTCCTCTCCATCAAATGATAACCAATTGGGCAATGAGCTGCGGTCAGCTGATCTTCCATAATAAGCAATGATTGACCGCAGACTTGATGAGTATTCTTCAAACGTATCTTTGCTAAATTTCAAATTGATCTTGTCGCCTGGCTTGACAACCAAACCGTCGTCACCATTTGTGTTACCAAATTGTGCCAATTGTTGCAATACGCTTGTACCTGACGCAACATGCAAGCCTGTATCATTGGATACAATCATGGTGTAGTTGTTGGATAAAGTTGACTGGTCACTTTGGTCGGTACCATGAATGGTGATATCAAACTCACCAACGTCTGGTTGACTAGGCTTACCAGTAAATGTTCTAGAACCCGAATCAAATGATAACCAAGAAGGTAGATTTGATACCTCATAAATGATGGCACCGTTGCTGTTTGACTTGTAGGTTGTATTTGCCATGGTGAAGCTGTAATCCTGGTCAACTCTTCCTACGTTTGGAAGTTGCTCATTAAAGGGGAACCCCAAGTAAATTGAGGCTGTTGCATGTTGTATAAGGTGTAGAAGCAGTAGTAGCAATAATCTTAGTAGTGTAAAGTGTAGCATTGTCTTGTATCACCTCTGATTCTTTTCATGTGTAGTCAAACTAGGACTGTTGGGAGTGGGAATGGAATTGCGAGTGTGAAGCTCAATCCTATGTGTCGATCTATGTGTTTTGTCTGAACCTTGAGTTGGTAACTAGTGAATCGGTGAATGAATGAACGAAGGTATAGACTGAGGAACGAAGAGCAGATGTTTGTAGGTGAAAGATGTTTGAATTGTCAAAAAGTTTTCTTTGCTGCCACTGTACTCTCTGTTTCTCGTAAAATGAAATGGTTTGTTTGTGGTTGTGTGTGGTTTAGTGTTACTCTCACTCACTCTATTTTAACCCAATTGGGTGGTGGTGGTGGTGTTTTTGTTTTGTATTAGCCTTGTGTACACTTGCTTCCCCCTGTCTTTTCATCTGTTGATCGTGTATTGTGTGTTGTAATGTATTTGTATGTAATTGTTGTTGTCTGAATATTCTTTTTTTTTTTTTTTTTTGTCGCGTTTCTCCTACTTTTTGTGTTACTCACTTATTTTATTTTTCGTGTACATCCATACACACATACGTTTATTATTATTATTATAATTATCAAGAGGTTCAATGCAAGGGACTTGGAATTTAACCGCATTGAGAAAGGATCATCATACACACATCCAAAGGAGACAGTGGCATGCACTAATATACCCACACACATTCACTAACCATTCCCTCTTTGACGTAGAAGGTATCACACACACACGCTCTCTCTCTCTCTCTCTCTCTCTTTCTCGCTCTCGCCATGTCGGACATACTTACAAACGTTCTGGCTAAGATACAGATACACACACGACTTTGTAAAAAGTGTTGTCCTCGTAGCAGCTCTGGTTATAGCTTTGCAAACAATAAGGAGCAGCTCATCTTGAAACAGATAACTACATATATCCACCGTATATATCTTTTGTACGAGATACACGAGATACAAATTAGAACAAAAGGTACATTCCAACTCTTTACATTCTATTCTCTTTGAGCATGTACAGTTAACATCGTCTACCAAATGAGTTAATTTTGGCAACGAATCTCCTGCGATACTGTTCACGGTATACATTCCAATTTCACTACCTTGTTTTACTCTTAGCCGATTCTATTTCTGAGTCCACTTTCACTCACACACTCACACACTCATTCACTTGCGAGCGAAAGTGAGTCCTCTATAGCTCCTCTTCAAGTAGATGAAACGATATTGCAACAATTCATTTGTCAAACAAGCACAGTTATATTACTTGAAATTAAACATCTATTTAGAATTTATTTTATCTGACGAGAATACAGCGCAATTCAATCTCTTTCTCTTGTGTATGGTCTACAAAATCTAGATCATAGCAGCTAAAGCGGCAATGACACCACCCATTGCAACACCTGGAACAACACCACCGTTGACAGTAGCAACAGAATGCTCGGATGCAGATTCGCCTTCACCTTCACTTTCACCCTCTGCTGGGGCGGCGGAAGAAGAGGAAGTTTGCTCTTCGGCGGATGATTCAGCAGCTGATGACTCACCAGCAGCTACGGATGGTTCAGCTGGAGCAGAAGATTCGGCAGCAACAGTAGTTTCCGGTGCAGAGGTCTCAGCTGCAGCTCCAGCAGAAGATTCGGCAGCAACAGTAGTTTCTGATGCAGAAGTTGGAGCTGGAGCAGATGTAGTGTCTTCTTCTTGAGTCGAAGCAGTTGTAGTTTCAGCAGCAGTGACAGCGGCAGCGGCAGCAGTACTCAATGCAGTAGTGACTGAGGCTGGTGGCATCCAGTACGGTTCCCAAACACCAGCAGAGGAGCAAATTGAAGTAGCCAATGACTCAAATTGAACAACGTTTTGCCCTTGACAGTTTTCAGCAACACAGTTACCAATGGCACCAGCAAATTGGGGCATGATACACAAACAACCAGTGTCCCAGTATGGACAAGGGGTTGAACCAGTGGATTCACGAACACATGGTTGAGCACATGCTGGCAATTGATCGTAGATTCTATCAGCAAATCCGTTGATTGAGGCAGTCTTTGGGATGCTTGGGTAAGTAGACCAGTTTGCACCTTCCATTTTTGTATTAGTGTGTTTATCAGCGAATGAAGTGTAATAAAGTTGGTGTCCTCTGTATGTATAGTAGAATAGACAGGGTCAGGATATTCGGGATTGTCGTGCCTATTTATACATTTTGAGAACCTTTTCAATCGCAACTAGCATCTCCCCAAGGAAATGAGTCCTGCCTGGGTTTATTGACTTTTTAGGTAGATTGTACACAAAAGAAACTAAACTAAGACTTCATACATTGGTGAAAGTTTTGGCGGCAAAAGGTTCTGGATTCTGCTTTTGCATCAAAAGCCAAGGATTAAGTCAATTCCGAAACAGGAATTGTATTTGTTCACCACCCGATCCTGGCCTTTGTGTACACATAATCATGTCCTGTGCATGGTCACACGTAATCCTCAGGGATAAACCGGTTTCAGCATAGCTCTGCTTTTATACTACATGCACCACCATATGGAAGCTGGACCCGATGAGTAAACCATATTGAAGAAACGGTTTGCTCAATTAGGAAATTGAATATACAGAAAAGGAAAGACAAACAAACAGACTCCATGGAAACGACGGGCCTTGTTTTCCCAAAAGCAAAACCTAGCACAGATGAGCGGGCCACTATAGCTTAAATCTTGGCAGCGTCGGATGAGATCAATACTAGGCAACACAAAACCGTAAAACAAGGTATACTTTGTAGATGAAAGCTTATTTTACCTACCTTTTTTTAGTCGTTTCACGGCACGGCCCGACAATAGAGTAAAGCTTGCGTCCAAGAGTGATTAACATTGCCAGAACCAGAAAGAACATCCAACTGCCGATTGTTTTGAGTAGTTCACCGAAATGAAGTGAAGAAATATGTAGCGCCCCCGATATGTCCCTCCAGTTGACGCTTTGTTTTGTGGTTAACAACTCACTAAAATTTAATTGTGCAAAACCTTACTAAGAAAAGGAAAAGTCTAAATTTGTACAAAATGAAGCAGTGGTGAGTGTGATCTACTTGGGAATATCATCGCATTTGCACTGCTACTCTCATAGACTCAGTGCAATAAAGTCAAAATAAAATTTTTTTTTTTTTTCATTTTATTATTTCTTATTCTAATTCTGTTAGCTAGGTTTATGGTGGAAATGGCATTTTGTTGCAATTCGGAAAAGAAAAAAAAAAAAAGAGAGATAAAGTCCAATACAGCACAATATAGTAAAATTCAAAAGGCAAATTCTGTTTTAAATCAACTTTTCTTGGAACAACGTTTCCAACCAATAAACGGAATCAAAGTGTTTTTAATTAAAGACTAAAGAGACGGGACAGTAGAAGCGCTCGCTATATAACGCAACTAGAAAATAGCTATAGTCGGTCATGAACTTTTATCAGTATTAGATTCAACTCATTGCGCTCCTTCCTCTGTCGTCGTCATTTCGTCGTAATAAAATCCCCTACTCTACTACAATGGCATTGCTTTCGCTTATAAGAAATAGGACAAGTTTGCAAAGGCGCTCAAGCAATATGCAACTTTGTTTACTTTTTGTACTGTACCATTTCCATTCTCGGCTTTATCGTAAATTGGGAAAAACAACAATAAAAACATTACGCATGTCGGTTTCTCTCTTTGTGTGCTGCGTTTGGCTTTGTGTGCTACTGATTGAAAAGATAACTTAACAAATATAGCGGAGTACACCAAAACTCTCAATAGTTTGTTTACATTAAAGAGAAAAAAAGAGATTTAGATGACTATACAATCTTGGGAAGTAGCGTTGTGGTAATGGAACACTTGATTTTTCTTTTCCCAGCTGGGATTGGAGCAATAGATATGTATAACAACCAACAAATTGGAGTGCAGCGAAAGCAAAAGATACTTTTCAGATTGCAAAAGAATAGTGGGAAGAGAAAGTGATTGCAACTTTGCAGATTCAAAGCGCATCTATTTGTAACCTATATACCTAATCCTTATTTTACATGAGGAAACTTACCAAGACACAGAGAATCACTGTTCCCATGCTACCAGCTTGTAAAGCGGCGATGTTGGAAGTTGATCCAGTAGAAGTAGAGCTGCTGCCGCTGGTGGTTGAGGCAGAATTAACAGAAGCAGTCTCTGATTCTGATTCTGATTCTGACTCGGACGTTTTTTCAGCATTTGATGCTGAACCAGTTTCCGAAGCACCACCGTTACTAGAACCTGTCTCTGAAATAACATTTGTATCTGAACTTCCTGGTGCAGTTACCCATGACATGGCAGTTTTACCTGAAATAGTAGTAACCTCCTTAGCTCCAGATGCAGCAGATGCCATCATATCTGAGATGGAAGCAGGCATCATCCAAGTGTTTGCACCAACAGTTGAACACAATGACGTTGCCAAAAATCGTGCACTTTGAACATCTTCCCCTTTACAGTTCTTGGCAATACATTGACCAACCAATCCTGACCATTGGGGCATGACACAGAAGCAACCGGTATCCCAATATGGGCATGGGGTGTTGCTAGTGCTGTACTTGACGCAATCCTTTGCACAATCTGGCAACAAGTCAACTATGGGGTCAGCAAAACCATTGATTGATGCGGTTTTGGGAATCTTTGGGTAAGTAGCGTAATTATCGGCCTGCACGAGTGTTACCAAGGCAGCAGCTAATACGGTGTAGATGTATAACATTGTAGATGTGTACTTGAAAGGGAAAGCCTAAAGGAAAAGGGGATGTTGTAAGATGATTTGATTAAGCTTTAACCTGAGTCGAAAGAAATCGGTCATATATGTATATATATACATATATATGTATACATATATGGTTGGATTATTGTGTTTTATTTGTTTGTCTTATGAAGGTAAGAACTTTACAAAAATTTTTGAACAGACTACACTAAATCTATACATTTGGTCGAATATAAACTCAACAAGTTTTTACGCTCAAACTATGTGTGTGCGGGGGTAATGTATCCGTACATCGCAACTTACTGCTTGCCTCAATTAAACGGAAATATTTAAAAGAGGAGGAAGTCAATACAGCAGAGGGTAAGAAATCAAGTTTTGTGACGACTGAAGATTAGTTTTAGACTTCCTTAGGTCCAAGAGTCACTCAGTGCATGTAATCAATCAAGTGCTAAGGTAAGATTTCTGTCTTGTTTCCAGCATCTATACAAAACACCATCACTGGGCTTTATATTTTTTCGGCCTGCTTCCGAAGTTTGGCTACAAAGTGTTCCCACAATATTATGTGGGAGTCTGTAGCTGACACTACTGCAATATTTGCCTGTACAAGGATTGATCAATTTGATAAATATATTTTGACTATTGTATGCTTTTTGTGCTATTCCGACATTGCAGCAAAAACAAAATCACAAAACGTATGTGATACAAAACCTTAAAATCAACTGTTTTTCTTCTTCCAATTGCAAAAAAAGTGCTTGGCATAGATTTCAATACACGATATGTCCACCAATCACAGAAAAGCATCATCCTCTATACTTCTTCCATTGCAGTGCATGCAAGATCTAAAGCGTGAACAGTAAAGAAAGAGGGCATTTGGAATAACAAACCAGTTTCTTGTCCTAATCGAAGTTATGTTTTTACTTCTCTTGGAACAGCCTCACAAATATCACTTCATGCAGCAGCTCCAGAATAGGCTATTTACTTTACTTTCCAAATAAAAAGTTAGCATTAATAGTCGACCGATATCCACCATTTGTACTTCAAAGAACAACACAGAGTTGAGGAGCGGAGTTATCATTTGCTTGAAATCCATGCTCGCATTTACTGATGGTAAAGATTTGATATTACTTCCATCAAAATCAGAGTTACCTTTTCTTTTTTTTTCTTTGTTTTTCTGCAACTTGTCTATTATTTGCTGATTATTCTTGGAGAAGCGATCTGAGCTGATTAAATAAAGTTTTGCTATTTGAGAAACAGAGATTGGCTGCATTTGGCGATACTTATTCAGTTTCAGTAAAGAACCTTCTTTGGTGAGATAGCTCAAGTAATCATGGATCCCCGATATTGCAGTCTCTCTAATTAGTCTTTTTGATCTAATTGTTTTTAGTTTTTTTTTTTTTTGTATTTGATTTCTTTAGCAAAGGTCCTTCACTTTTGTTACTCTTTTCCACCGAATCCTAAACGTTAAATGTAATTTGAAATAAATATGATATAATTTCTTTGCTTTCTATTGCTTGGAATGAGCAAGAACCCACTTACAATCTTCAAATAGGTAAATATTCATCATTAAATACCATTTTGACTCTTCTTACAAGTTAAAAATAACGACTCAGTGCACTTCAAATAGAGTCCCTCAGCATAAACCCACCTTCAAAGTTTTCCACCATGGCTGTTCCCTTTGACCAACAGTTTTTTGTCGAAAGAGAAAGAAATAATAAGTATGAATGGCTTATATTCATTCTAACATTGGTGATATTAGGTGCGCACGGACTACTATTCCACTGGATTCCTCGATACTTTCGCATAAAGAGGCAAAGCATCGGACTCAAACACGGTAAATATTTTGCATTCGTTAAAGCCTGGGACAGTCTCACGTGTTGCAAACACTACACAGTATTCAACACAAAATTTTATTATCAACCTAGTCTAGTGCTATTCTGCATTGTGTTTGTCGGAGTCAATATTGGGTTATGTTTTGCTGAAATTAAAGATATTGACTATCAAGGGTACATGTACGCCATCTCGAAAAGAATATCACGTATTGGCATTGGCAACTTGCCAATCTTGTTATTGTCAGTCATGAAACACGATTTGTTAACGCAGTTCTCGGGTTTTCAATTTGACAGGTTGGAATTCTTGCATAAATGGTTGAGCAGATGGATGTGGGCCATGATTACAGTGCATTTGTCATTGGCTTGCTACTATTGGTTAACAAACAACTTCTTGATTATGATTATTATCCCACCCCAGATTTTTGGATTCATGGCGTATGGAAGTTTGTTTATATTGACTTGGACAAGTATGAAGTTTATTCGACAATGGTGTTATGAATTTTGGTTGGTCCAACACCGTGTTTTTGCCTTCATTATGTTGTTTATGTCATTTATCCACAATTCTGGGAACCGGGCAGCGGTGTTGGTTTCGGTTCATGGATTGGTTATTGATCGAGTGTTGAGCAAAATTATGGCTCATATACATAAACGGTACTCGCCAACCAAGTGCAAAAGTGCATTCAGGATCTTGGATTCGGGAACTATTGAAGCAACGATACCAGTTAGGGAAGATGGGTATGTGGCAGATAAATGGTACAACAAAATACTTGGATACAAGAATTGGAAAGCAGGGCAACATGTTTATTTGAATGTACCCAAAATCAAATGGCTTGAATATCATCCATTCACCATTGCCAGTTTAGCGTCATCTAACGAAATAAAACTATTGATAAGAGTCCAAAAGGGGTTTACGCGAAATTTAATGAGACACTTGGCAGACATAGATCATGAGGAGCACGCAGATGACTTGGTCAGTATCAAAGCCATGTTCCATGGGCCTTATGGCGCAGTGCATCAACCATTCATTTCATTTGACCATTGCATATTCTTTGGAGCTGGTTCAGGGGGTGCATTCACCTTCCCTGTGTGTTTGGATCTCCTTCAACAAATACAAGCTAAAGACGAAATGCAGGATTTCCTCTTTCGACCAGTTGCTCCCAAGATTAGATTTGTTTGGGCAATCAAGCAATTGAAAAATATTGTCTGGTTCAAGCATATATTCGACCAATTGAAAGGTTATTCTGCTCGGAATAAATTGATTATTGATATTTATGTTACCCAAGAGAGTGCCGACAGTAGCTGTTACTCTATTGAAGAGAGTCAAATTGAAAGTAGCCAGCCAAAATTAGAGCAATCTTCATCTAGTGACGAAGGATCATATGAATTGCAATCGATTGGACTGAATCTGAAATTACTCAACAAAAATCACATTTATGATGGAGAGAAAGTCAAGAGTCAGGACCTTGTAACGAATCAAACTGTAACCACCACGTCGACAACGATGACCAATCCTAGTGACAGTACTCAGAACAAGACAAAGTCAGATACTATAGAAGTGGAATACGATCTTAGTATCACTAAACCAACATACAATATCCACTACGGCCGTCCCGACATTGGCTCTATAATCCAAACGCACTCGAATGACCTTTCACAACAAATGAGTAATGACAGTGCTTACAAGTCATTGGCGGTTGCCTCTTGCGGTCCACCATTCTTTACCAATCTAATCAAAGAGCAGTGTCAAGTGGCAAGACGAGTAAAGAACTCTCCCGATGTGTATTGTTATACAGAATCGTTTTAGAGATATAACAAAGGTAGTAATACATTAGATAGTAAAAGCTTGGAGTTATTCTCTTATTCATTTATTATTAATACAACCTATTTCATTCGATTTATTTTTTTGATTCAACACTATTAGTATTATCGGTATCATTCTGCACTTGAGCCACACCATCAATCTGAACAGGAGATTGAACACCATTATCATTTACATTGTTTGAAGTGGCAGCTTTCAACCTCTCTCTCATGGCATCAGTTGATCTGATTGGTTCCAAAACGTATGGACTGTTTTCTGGATCCTCATCATCATTGTAGTAAGCATACTCACCAATTTGTGCCAAGTCGGTACCCAACATCTCTTCATCTTCATGTAATCTGATTCTCAAAAATGGAATTCTGTCCATAGCCAATAGCAAGATGGAAGTAACAACAAATGACCACGCAGCAATTGAAACCGATCCTGCCAATTGGTAACCCAATTGCTTCCAGTGATGATTCATCCAGCCACCATCAATTTCAGTACCATCAATCATTGCAACGTAATCAGCAGCAAACAAGCCTGTCATAAAGTTTCCAACAAATCCCCCTACTCCATGTAAAGCCCAAACGTCCATACCGTCATCGATTTGCAAGTATTGCTTCAAGTCAACGGCAAAGTTACAAATGATACCAGGTACAATTCCAAATATAATTGAGGTGTATACTGGCACGTAACCAGCAGCTGGGGTGATACCAACCAATCCAGCAATTGCACCAGTGCATAAACCAACAGTGGACCACTTACCGCCAGTTCTAAAGTAGTCAACAAACATCCAAGTCAAACCACCACATGCAGCAGCAATATTTGTGTTGACACAAGCATACCAAGATCTCATCTTGGCATTACCTGTTGAACCACCATTGAAACCAAACCATCCAAACCAAAGAAACACAGTTCCCAACACAATAGAAGATACAGAATGTGGTTTATATTTAGGAACTTTACCTTGAGTCAATGGATCGTGTCTTTTACCCAACCAAAGTGAATAGGCCAAAGCAGCAAACCCAGAGTTTTCATGAACTGGCCCACCACCAGCAAAATCCAAAGCTCCCAAGTTGAATAACCATCCATTGCCACCCCATGTCCAGTAAGCAATGGGAGCATAAACGACAGTCAACCATACAAACAAGAAAACCATCATGGGTCCCAATCGTGCTCTTTCGCAACCAGCACCAACCATCAAAATTGCAGTGACTGCAGCAAACATACCTTGGTACAAGCAGAATAAGATATCAGGCACAGAAGTAACAACACCTGGAGCACCCAACACATTTCTCAAACAGAAATTTTGTAAAGTTCCCAAGAACTTGGACCCATTATGTGCGAAAACCAACGAGTAACCCCAAAAGAACCACTGAAAGGCAGTGACACAAGCAGCCATTAATGAAGCCCACATTAATGAAAGAGCGTGTTTTTTTCTTGATAAACCTGAATATAGTAAACCAACACCGGGTATCATGATCCATACTAGTACTGATGCGGTACCGATCCATGCCATATCGGCACGATCGAATTGGGTGTTTAAATCGACTTTGAAAACATCTCCACCAGTTCCTTCTCCAGTAAGTCCTGATGAGTCAGACATGGCTTATATGTGATTGTAGCGAAGTATAAAATAAAACAAAAAAAAAATGTGATACTACAAAAAGGTTCAAATGAATATGAGAAGAAGAATTGATAGGGGGATACATAGCTTCCTATTTATATTAAGTTGAAGAGGTTGTTTTATTTTTACGAAATCCATAGATAAGATGCAGAAAACACAATGGAAATTACGCAAGGATACTTTTTAGCCGTGTTACATATCGTCTATTCACCTAGTATCAAGAAAGGCTAGTCACATATTATTCACATGAATCCAAACCTTTCTCCGCTCTTTTACTGTTTATGTATTTCTTGGCATTGTGTATGTAAAGGCATATATCTAGGTATGCATGTGTGATGCAACTACTTCTACTATGATATTCTTATCTATATGAGACGTAGTTAGTTAAAATGCTTGCAGTAAACAATATTTGTATTGCAAAATTAAAAGGCTCTAAGCTACCAAGTGAGATTTAATATTGATTCTTTTTATTTTTCTTTGCATAGTTACACAAGAGCCCCAATCGTCCAATCAAATTGCACCATTTGCACAAAAGAAACAAATTAAAAACATAATTTTAATAAACAGAATTCTATAGATAAGCAATATGCAGGACCTTTTTTCAGATCTTAGAAAGGTCTTTTTATACACAATAGTAGCAAGCAGTTGAATATTACAAAGTCAAGAAATATTGTAGACTTGAGACCATATTTGTCATGAGGAAGTAGAATGTATCACAGCTAAACTCCCTCCAGTCAGTGATACGCTGATTCAGTAGCTTGAAAAGAGTCCATGACAGAGGAAAAAAAAAAAAAAAAAAGGAAGGTACACCACTCTCACTTCGATTGACTTGTAGCGGTGTGTTGTGCTGGAATTGATGTTAATGAATGCGACAGTTTCATAGGCTCTAATACCAAAGAGTAATTAGCCAAACGTTTATTCTCTCTGCCGTTATGGTGTTGTCTTGGGTGGCTTTGCAACTCGTCACCTTTTATTCCTATAATAATTCATCGTGCGTCTTCGATTAAGCTTTGTAGCACCCCGTAAACAGGAAAGTAAAAGTATAAAGCGTGTATGCATAATGGTATGTAGTTCGAGAACAAATAGATAAAAAGATAACAGAATAGATCCACCACTTCTATTGTGTTACATATGCTAAAATCGCCTATCAATCTAGCCACTTTTTGTCCAATCGGGCTTCGTTGTTGAATATGAGTCGCCTGTACCGGAACGATTAGTATTTCATAACAACAAACGTTTTCGTGGATGTTTGTTGTGTAATCGCCTCTTCCTTTGCAATCACAAACGGAAGTTTACGGAACTATTCCTGTGAGCTTATTAGTGTGGCTTATTACACGCATAAGTTGAGTAATGAATCGATGCTGCATGTCAGAATCTCGTTTTGAAGCTAGACACAATGTCAATAACAGAAAGTAAAAAAAAGAGTATCTACTATCAGCAGACTACTTGTGATTGTTTTGTTTGTGGAGTAAAAGTTTTTGTGTGGATGGAAATGTATATATGCACGTGACTCAGTTAATTGGTTCATGTGGAAGAATATGGGGTGGTTCATTATCAGTACATCTCAGGACACGCTTTCTGTGACTAGGACTGGGGACAATAACATCAACTGGCTAGACAATTCGCAAGGAGTAAACCGATGCCACATCTACACTTGGAACGTCTACTTTCATCATAAGCGACGCTTATTGCAATCGATTTGCACTTGCAGAGCAACACTTCAAGCCAAAAGATACACTTGTTAAGAAATTACTCCTCAAGTCCTGGTTTTTGCCTGAAAGAGAGTAGTTTCAAATAACTCCCAATATTGGTGGAGGGAGCCGGTTATCCATCTTAGCCGAGAAATAGATCTCAAGTTTTAAAGACCGATTTGCGTGCGTCAACTATTGAACAAAATTGGTTGGCACACGCTTTCCCATACAAAAAGAAACAAACAAACAAAACAAAAAAAGAAATACATTTGGCCATTTTTCATCTCCTTCCACCACACCGTAGCGGAGTTTGGATTAGCAACCAAGAATTGAGTGCTACATTAAAGCAACACTAGTCACTCTATTGCTAGTAAACTCAACAGGCCATTGAGATTAAACCTGATACACAAAAGATGGAGGACGATTCTTACAACTTCGCAACCACTATTTTGACCTCCAAGTCACCCGAACAAGCTGCCGCAATTTTACCCAGTGTCATAACCGGGTCCACGGGTTTGAACAAGGACTTGATATCGTGGTTTAATAATTACAACAATGCAATTGGAGCTCATAATGCATCATTGAGACAATTACTCGAGGAAGCAAAGAAAATTGGTGGTCGCAGCAAAGTTGGATTCAACAACTTCCCACGCAATTGGAACTGCTTGGTAAACGCAGTGCAAATGGAGTTGAAGGACAATGAAATTTTGCAAGAGAGTTTGAAACAAGATGTCATCAACCCCTTGAGAAACTTGATTGAGAATGATGTAAGGATTTCTGAGTTGACTATCAATGGGCAAGAGTTGACTGAGCTTAGTCAACACTTGACTAAGGAGGGTGAGTATCAATGGAATTTCAAAGCACCTCAAGCATTTCTGAACTTGGAAGCTTTCAAGAAGATTGAGATTCAATTAATGTTCAATGTCGTTTTAAACTATTTCCAACTCAACAGTGCTAGGTTGAACAAAGAGGTGAAAAACAATGAAAACTCAACAAACTACTTATTGGGAAGCTTTAAATTGGATAATGAAATGAAAAGTCAGTTGGACTACATGCAGAATACACAATTCCAATTGCCTGCTGCACAAGCCACTAGTCAATCCCACACTGTAACTGCCAGTACTCCTGCTTCGTCGAGAGAGAGGAGAAGAAGCTCATTAGGTCGTCTTGACAAACATGCAGGATCAACGCCAGAAGAGCAATCACCAAAAAAGCAATCCAAGTTGAAATCGCGCGTTGGTTCCATTTTTGGAAGAAAGAAAAAGAAGGATAAGCACCAACCACAACTCGGCTCTACTATTGCAGAAACTGAATCCATATCTACAGATTCATCCACTACAAGATCAGCACCATTGTCTAGAAATACTACTTCAAGGTCATTGCTTGGCAGAGAACACAGGGTAGACTCGGGTACCGCAGTACAGGGTCCATCTCATGGGGCTCCTGCACAACCTCAAAGACAACAACTGCAAGCTTCATTCCCGCCTTTGAAGCCGCAACAACAACAACAGCAACCACAACAGCAGCTGCAGCCACCACTTGAAGAACAACAACAGCAACAACCACAACAGCAGCTGCAGCCACGCCAGCAGCTGCAGCCAGAACAGTTTCCACCAGTCCAGCCACCACTTGAAGAACAACAACACTTTCCTCCTCCACATCAGCAACAAGATCCACAGGCTGCGTTTGGTTCTAGCATTGCTCCTCAGCAATATCCTTTGCAACAGTTTCAACAACGCTCGGGTGTATCTTCACATCCGGTTGCCACTCCAACCCAGGGTTTATTTTCATCGGAGCAACAACCACAACAACAACAACAACAACAACAACAACAACAACAAAACAATTACAGAGATACTACGTTGCCAGCTACTCCAACCCATGGTAGAGTTACCAAGCCATTACCTGAACCAACGGACTCTCCAAATGTTGTGAGATACAGCAGTGGTGACGACGATGACGACGATGACGACGAAGATAACATTGTTGCAGGCAGAAGATCCTCTTTACTTGAAAGACATGATTTAGATATTCATGATGAAAGGGAGTTTGGAAATGGTGGAAGAGCCCCGGGTCAACACCAAAACCTCCCTCCAGTTCAACCCTCAGGCTTTTCTGGTGGACTACTTGATCCTAAAGAGAGAACAAGACAAGATAGTGCTGCAAGGTACTCTTTTGAAGCTGGTGACGATAACAAGCCCATCTTGGCAACGCCAAGAAGTGAGCAGAATGGGTTCAATGACGGGGACAGGGTTTCTGAAAGTAATGTTTCACTGGCTCACGAGAATAGAGGAATTGACAGCCAAGAATTCGATAGAATCTCTTCCAGCAATGATGAGTCGTCACAATTACCCGCAAGGTCTGGTGTTTCTGGTGTGGCAGCACCAACTTTCCCTCCAAGTGGCGAAAACTTTGCACCTCGCAGTTATGCTTCTTCTGATACAGCAGCATCAATTACAGGAGTTGGAGTTGGAGTTGGTGCTGGTGCTGTTGGTGCAGCTGCTCCGCCAAAACCTCCTCCATCCAGAAAAGTGGTGCATCATAATAGCGGGTCGGTGAGAGACTCTCATATGTTCCATAACTTGCCAACTGCAACTACAAACAGTTCCATAAGAGATTCGTTTGTTCAACCGCCAAGACCACAATCTGCAAGCTCCCACTTGAACAATCCATTTGCTGCGTTAAAGAGACAAGATACTGGATCATTATTGAACAATGATTTCAAGCACTTTAATTTGTCAGATGCCACTATTGGATTGAACTCTTCAATTGCAGAAATTGTCAATGCCACTTTTAAAGATGGCCAGTTGAAGTCGTCACAAGTGATTGGTGAGGTTGCATTCAATTACAACGGTCATCCAAATGAGGACTCGATAATTGTTCACATTCCTCATGATTATGATAGATTGATTGTGAACAAGACATTTATTGAGGAGTTGGGTGGCCACGATTACAAACTTGATCCTGTGTCAATTAGCTCGAAAACATTGGGGGGATTGAAGTACTTGGCAAATGACAATCATGTGCCATTGGTTGTGCAACAGATATGGAAATTTGAACCACATCAATCGAGTTTGATGATTAGTATCAGGTCCAATGTCAACGAGACGCTTGAGATTGAAAACTTGATTGTTTCTGCAGCGTTGAACACAAATGTTGCTGCTACGTCAGCATCGTCAAAACCGCAGGGAGCTTTTAATAAAGACAAGAATAGGATTACTTGGAGGTATAACCGTCCCGTAGTTTTGAAACCACAGGCGGAGGAAAAGTTGATTGCTAGGTTCATGACAAACGGACAAGGATCTGAACATGAACTGGGTGTGCAATTGAAGTTTGCTATAGGGAACCCAAGTGTTGTCAAGTATTGCTCAATTTATGACACTCGAGGTGAAGAGATTCCTGCTTTTAGGAACCTCATAAGTGGACACTACGCTAGTCATTTTGAATAAAAAGGGCACTAAATGAAGGAAAGAGAGTGGGCGAGAACGGGGTTGTGTTTGTTGCGAGAGCTACACAGTAGTATAATAGTTTTGTATAGTAATATGTATAAGTTTCCAAACCTCACTATATACCACACCTCTCCATCGTCGTCAACTCAATCATCTTTGGATCTCACCTCAGGCTTATTCAATCCATCATAGGCAGATTGCAATCCATTCAACTGTTTCTTCAACGCATCGATATCCTTCTGTTTCAATTCAATCAAATGCTTAACTTTGACCAATTCTTCACTATCGCCAGCTTCAGGAGCATTCAACCCCTCATCTCTCTCAGCAAGCAATTGTCTATACACCTTCTCCTTCAAGACCAACTTCCTGACAATTGTAGACACGGTATAAATACTCAACATCAAATACAAGATTGCTCCCGACAAGTACAAGTTCCGTTGCGAGTAAAACTTGCTAGCCAATTTGTCATAGTTGACAAACCCTTGCAACACGTCACTCTCCTGCACTTTTTTAAACTTTTCCAACCGTTGCAAACAATCGTAAAATTGCAACGACATCAAACTGATGCTAAAGACTAGAAAGACACGGAAGTTTTGTGTCGTTGTGATCTTGGTGTATATGTTGACGATTTGGATGCGGAGCATGAGTGGGAGTGGGAGGACAAAGAGGAGTAAGGTGATCATTTGGAAAACCATGGTGCTGAACACCAAAAGCATTTGAAGACTCATTGGAAATAGTGGCTAGCTGTTGAGATTTGTGTTGCAAGTATATAAAAGATGGAAGTCGCAAGTTTCAATAAAGTTACTCAATGGAGGACTTGTTGGTGAAGGCGTTGGATATTGTAGATTGCTTTATCTGTAGACCTTCAATTGATGTAGAGAGAAAGCTGCAAAGTGTATTCAATTATCTTTGCTGTCTTTTTTCTCACTATTTTTTATTTTTTTTTTTTTTTTGTTTTTATGCGGTCCTAATTTTCTTCAATTACCCGCCATTGTCAACTCCAGTAGGACTGAGCCTTGCAAAATCTCACCACAGGGTATTCCCATGCAAGAACAACACGCTAATATTCTGCGCTTTCTAGGCATAATTTTTCGGTTCACTTTACATAAATCATTACTCTACTATATTCATATACAAAAACACATCACTCTATAATCCAGTAACTCTTTTGGCATAATTGTAAGCAACAATACTGAACAAAACCATGCCTCCAATAATACTCCAAAACCAAGCCAATCCATCATAATCTTGTCCAGGGACAAGACAATTCATCCCCCAAAGCCCCGTCACCACATTGATCGGAAGCACAATCGTACCCAAAATCGTAACTTTTCCCAAAATGTCATTCGTATCATTATTGACTTTAGTCATGTCAATGTTGATTTGCGCAAGGTAATTGGAATGGAACCGGGCCAATAATTTTTCGTAATGGTTCAATGCACCAATCATTGTGTAGATGTGGTCTTGGATATCGCCCAAGTACATGGCGATTTCCAGTTGATGGCGATCGATTGTGGTGTTGTCCAAATCATTGAATCGTTTACTGAAGCCCTTAATGACGTCAGCTTTGGAGCTGAGGAGACGGAGTACTGACATGACTCGTTTACGGCATTCTCCAATACGACGCAACATATCCCCTTTGCGTCTCCAACCGAGGATACGCGACGACCCTGTGTCGGAGGTCGATGAGGAGGCGGAGCTTGATTTGGATTTGGTTCTTGACTTTGGTACTTGTCTGGTGTCTGTTGATTTTAAAAAGCCAGTGTTGTTGGGATCAACTGTTGATTTCGATCTTTTCCGCCAGACAAATACATTTTCGTGCGGCTCTTGAGATGATCGATGATGATGATGATGGTGATGACGATGGCTTTGGCTGCGATGATGATTATGTGTTGAACCTTCATCTTCAGAATCGGAATCGTCAGAATCATCATGTTCCCCAGAATGCATGCGTAAAATGGCATCTTCGATTGAATTCACTTCAGTTTCAATAGTTTCAATCATGGGTGCAAATGAGTCGGTGATATCATCAATCAATGCATAACAGATCCAATCTGAAGACACTGTCAAGTAATCCTTCAACATTCTTGCCCTTCTTCGCACATTGATGGGATGTGGCGTGGCGGAAAAGTGGAAAGTAATAACTGCATGTTTGAATACAATAATGTACATGTTCAAAGGCAGCAATTCACCCTCTCGGACTTTTTTACCTCTCGATCTAACTGAAGTGGAGATTGGCTTTTCATGGATCGAAGGTGGCTTTGTCTTTTTCTTTTTCAAGAAAGAACCAAACAAACGTGGCAACTTGGAAGCTAGTCCGCTCTTTTGATGTTGCCCATACAAACTTGAAGTATCGGAACTATTTTCATACATTTCTTGCAATTTGTTATACCTCTTCTCCTGCTCTTTTGCCTTTTGTTTGCGACGTTCATAAACGACATCAAACGAAGTAAAACAGATAAAGTAATAGTTTTTGAAAAGCTCAACCTTCTCTCTAGCTTCGCCAAGGAAAATATCCTCCGTAGTCAATGGGTGAATACCAAAAGTTCGTGAAATAACCTTCATCTCTTCCTCAGTGGGATCTAAAATGTCGAGCCAGTAAGGTTCGAGACTTGTTGAGTCTCCACTAGATGCAGGTAATGGGCTCTCGTTGCCGACTCTTGATGCTTTAGGAGTTGGCTGCAAATTGTTATTGCTTGACGACATTGAGTCTTGTTGTTTATGGGATTGGTGGTGGGTTGAAGTTGATCCACTGACTGACGTTGATTTTTCACCCGGTCTGAAAAGTTCAACTAATCTATCATAGATTGATTCTTCGGGATCATCGCTAAGCAATCCACATATGGTGGGGGCATGAATAGTTTCCGCTAAGTCTTCTCTAAAGTATGTGAATCGACACAATTCTCCCTTTTTCTGTCCCTTCAATGTCTTTTGAGCTTGCGACAGTGGTTGTCTCTTGTTCAAAATAGTGGGGATCTGGTCCTTTGATTTCTCCCATGGATGTGTTGGCGTGGGTCTGACTCTAAATGAATCGTTTAGTGACTCTAATGATTCAAGTTCATTAACTTTAAAGCTATCAACAAGTGGAGTTTCTTCATCAACTGCCGCCTCATCGAGTGCTTCTTCTGGTAAGGCAGATGCTGGAGGCCGTGGTGGCGAGTATTTGTTGCTGGGCGATTGCAAATTCCCCTTGCCTTCATGAATTACATCTTTTCCAAAATTGACAGATTGCACAACTTGATCAATCTCTCGTTCATGGTCTTTTTCCCTCTCCATCTCCTCCAACTCTTCAACCACATATTCTTCCATAACTTTTAAATTGGGCCATTCATCACGTTTCTCATCCTCTCGGTCATATGAATAGTAGCACACGTCATCCAATGAAGTTGAGTCACTTGAATGATCAGATGATGGATTGGACTCACCAAATTCCATCGAATTTACCGAGAATGCATCATCTCCATTGTCATTGTAGTTTATATTAGCATAATGGCCAGGCGAGCCAGGACTCAAATCATTCTCGTCCTTGCCAAAAGGGTTATGCCAAGACTGTGATCTAGCAAGCTGTCTCTGTTCGTGTGCAAACTGATCCATATCGACGGATATTCCTGTTGGAGAAACAGCCTCTTGTTCTTCGTCTGCCCCACCGCCAGACGATGAGCTCCGCAACAACAGTTGTAGGTTTCTGTTGGTTAGTGGTAAGGTTGGGGCAGTGGCGTAGTGTGTCGGACCTTTAGGCTTGAACTTGGCTGATTCAGTGTTGTCATCGTTGTCATTGCTATTGCTATTGCTATTGCCATTGCCATTGCCATTGCCATTGCCATTGCCACCCTTTTTCCCAGTTGTGCTATTTCTTTTGAACACATTTGCATTTGATGACCGGCGTCTAGTCCTGGCAGGCGATGAGTGCAAATGAGCCAAGTCGTTGTGTGCTCTGTGATCTATATATGACCCTGAGTCCACTAATCTTTCAAGTGAGCTGGTGCTTTTGTTTTTGTTGCCGCTATTGTCGTCAGTGGCATTGTATTTGGGTTGTAATTTGCGGGTTGTTGAAGTATGATCATTCAATCTCGGCTCGATTCTAATGGAGGGCGCAGTGCTCCCTTCCGTCACTGAACGATCAGGAGTATCCATGTTGTTGAGATGTGATTTGTTGGTGTTCAGATCAGATTGAATAACACTGTAAATAAATTAATGACTCAAGTGTCAGGAGGAGCGTGTGAGCTATTTTGGCAAACGGGCTATAGTAGTGGTGTCTTCTTCTCTTTCTCCTTATTTGAGAAGTAGTGTTTGTTCAATCTATCTCAAGTACATATATAAAAGGAATATATATATATATATATATGCATATGTTTCTTGGGGTATGGGTCCTACTTGATTGAGCAGGAATTCCATATTCTTTTTGTGTGTTTGTTTTGTGTTCAGAAGAGAAAAAAAAAATTTTTATTTACAACTTACACAGCAATCAAAAAAGGATTAAGACATAAGACATACAACAACACATACACACACACAGATAGATATATATGAACATCACCATCAATACTGTAAACTAGACTTGTGCTTAAAGTAAGATCTTCAAGGACCAACGGCTTGACGATAGGTAAACAACTAAACGGTCTGTGTGAACCAAAACGCCACGAAATCATTTCAGTTGTCAGCGCTTTCTATAGTTGTTGGTGCATTAGAGACAGGAGTGAAACGAGAAAAGCTACATCATACATTGTGTTTGTATTTGTTACATCTTAGATGTATTGAAGCCCTAAGGGTCACACGATGCTTATCTCTAAACAGTAAATTAATTCGCAGAACAATTGTACCACAACGTACATACACAATGTCTACACTATCTGAATTCCATTACTAACCTATAACTCTGTTGCGCTAAATTTTAGGCAATTACTTCCTCACCCAAAAAAGCCAGTCACTTGACCCCTCACGAAAGATATAGGAATGATACTTGTTGTTTTCTTCCGCCCTTTCTTCGCTGAGCCTTTTTTGACTTTATCATCCCAGTTCTGAACACATCGCCGCATACCAAGTAGAATCCGATAAAGATTCCTCGAGGAAGCAAGCAGCGCATACTTCCAAATGTGGCTAAGCAAATTTCTTTTCTTCTGTTTTTTTTTTATAGTTTTTTTATTTTTCGTATCTCGTATCCCAGTCACGTGGTATCTATTACGTCATTGATCACAGAGTTAATCAGAGGAACTGGATATCCCTACAACTTATGAACAAAAGACTGGAACGAAAGATTGTTCCTCGAGTTACTGCCACATCGACCTACTCTCCCCCTCCCCCCAATTACAAGCTACTAGTAATGGCTAGCACCAAACCGAACAATACTCTAAACAAATGTATACAACACAATGTGCAACCGGTGAAAGCATAACCTTATATACGGGAAATCACTCATCCGCGTCACTGACTTCCTCTTCATATCCACCTACTTCTTCTTCTTCATCCACCTCGTTATCAGCCACGACAAAATCTCCATCTGTGTCATTGACATCTTCCACTCTTTTAGCACCATCGCCCGCGTCATTCTCCGCTTCATTAGTTGAACCAGCAGCCACCTTCGCTTCCTTGGGTTCCAGCTTCACATCTTTCCTCTCCACAGTCTTCTTCTCCTCATTTTTTTTCTCTTCTTTCTTCACTTCCTTCTTTTTTGTCTCCCCTGCTGGCTCAACCTTCGCCTTCTTCAATTCACGTTCTCGTTGTCCACCACCATTCAATGCATCCAACGCATGTTCAATCTTATTATGAGCATCAATCAACTTGTAATACGTGTCTTCAGTTAATGAGATCCCCTTTTTACCCGGCTTGGCGTCGCCATTAGCATCCGTGTAGAACTCCCTAATGTCGACTAAATTGACATTGTTAAATTTACGCACAGTGACCCGTTTTTTGGTGTCTAGAGGGATGATTGTTTCTGGTGCACTATTGTCTTGGTGTGCTGGTTTGGACGAGTTGTATGATCTCTTGTATGCCATTGTGTGTGTGTGTGTGTGTGTGTTCTATGTGGTAAATCAAGCGTGATTAGGCGTATTGTATTATGAAGAAAGCAAAGAGTTGGTGATCTATTTTTTTCTACGCGTCACATCTCAGAGACAAGAAATCCCAGTTCCATTCTATAAAAAAAAAAAACCACACACACACAAATACTTTTGCCACCACAGCAAACTTGGAGACTTGACTCCCCTATGTGTCCGTTAGTTTGGGAAATGGCCACTGGACCAACTTTCATTAAAGTGCTCACCCAAATCAGCTTGGAACTGCTCAATCAACTTTGCGTCTGATTCAACCATCCCATCCCTTGTCAATTGCTCATATGCTTCTATAGCTACGTTCAATTCATGTAAATTGGAAACCCCCAACACAATACTTTGCCCTCTCTTAACGATCCATTCATTGATTGCGTACTTTGTCGCCAACTCAGCCAACTCCACCCCATTGTCCAGTTTCAATTGATGTGCCAAGTCATCCACTTTTGCCTTCAATTGTGGTGATGCTGGATGGAATGCATGTGTAGGTTCAGACCGTAATAATGACATGGATAAGATCAGGCCATTCATAATCTTGTCCACCCCAGCGTCAGTTGCCAATTTAGAGTCGTAGTCAAACAAGATGTTATTCTGAATACATCCATGACAATACGACATTACTGCATCCAACGGCGTTCCTTCAAGCTGTTTCCATTTCATGGCGACCTCGTAAATGAACAGGATAGGATATCCAGAAACACCAATGTTTTTCACAACACCCTCATTTTGCAAACTTTGTAACTCCCTCAATGCGTCAATCACTTCATCAGCACTGACAAATTCGATGTCATGCATATACACCAAATCCAAATACGTCGTTTGTAATCGTTTCAAGGACCGTAACACTGATTGACGCACCAGTGCTCGTGAATAATCAAATTCATCGAGTTTGATACGACCTGCTTTAGTGCATACATAATACGATTCACGCGGTACGTTTAACTCTGATAATGCGTGGCCCAAAATCTCTTCTGAAGGTCCGTAGTATGGCGATGTGTCAATGGCATTGTAGCCTAATTCAAATGCGTGGCGTAAGATATCTTGCACTGGTAGTGAATTGGGATTGGAGTGGTATTGGTAGTTGAATACGGCTCCTCCTATAATGAAAGGGGGTAGTCCTTTTAAAGAGGAGCTTCGGGAGGTCTTGGGGGTCTTGGGAGATGGACACATGCGACAAAGTGATGTTAGCGAGGAAATGTGCGTGTGTGTGTGTGTGATGTGTCGCTGTTGTTTATCGATCGAGATGCGTTCTCTCTTTGTTCGACGCATTTGGTCCAGATCTTTTTTTGCCTTTGTTTTGTGCAATTGAGACTCACAATTCATGGATTTATAATGTACAATACATTTGTATTATACCAAGGGATATTTCGTTACAGAGAATATAGTAGTGCACTTTGTTTTGGGAACCACTCCGTGCCTTATTAGTAACATTGTACACCTATATATCACATTCCAATTCACTAGAACTATCACGCACTAATTCATAAATCGGAGTTTCAAACTTAACAACAAGCTCCTTATTACCTTCCAAAGTGATAGCATGGGCTTTCTCAACTCCTATTGACCCATTGTTGGGTGAAACAGCATCCAGATAAGAACTCTCTTCTTCTGTACTCCAGTAAAATCCAACACATGATGGGCCCGTACGAGGCGAGATTGCGAGTTGCAATAGGTCAACCTCTGAGTCAAACAAATCTACATCCCACCAGTTTATACTTGTATTGGGGTATGCCAAAGTTAGTTTGCAAACTTCCGGAATTACGGAGTCGCAATACACATATGTATTAATGTGCATCTCATTTAAGCTCAAATGGGACAGGAGATTTAACGTTTCAAATGCGTCGAAAATCCACTCATAATCATCGGAGGAATCAAATTTGGGAGCCTGGTAGATAGCCATTACTTCCAACAAAGGGTATGCAACATCGAGACTTCCGGATCCAAGTACGGGTTTTAAATAATGTGGACTGTCTATGCAAAGTTGACGAATATGCAGGGTGTCAAAATACCGTTTAATCTCCAATTCTGATCCTTCGAGATACAATTTGAGACTGTACAATTTCAATGTGCATGGGGAGATCCGATTTAGGTCATGATGTGGCTTTACGTGAACACAAAGTTGTTTCAAGTTTGATAATTGATTAAAATACGGCATCTCAACCAAGTCAATATCTGCCTTGTGTATGTAGTCATATTTATCGGGACTTTGGGAAACAATGTTGCTCCACTTGCCATTGAGTCTGTAGGAATTGTAAAATGTATTTGAACTACCAGTAACAATACACTCCAGTTCTGGGTTTCCTTTCCACTGCTTCCTTGTGGGCGAGAAATATTTAATCAGCTTGAAATGGTTAAAAATTAACTTTAAAGTATCCTCGGACATGGCACTCATTTGAAGAAAAAGTATAGGTTGGCTAGCATCCATTTGTGACAAGTGACGTTTAACAGTTTCTTCAAAAACCACTGTCCATTTATTTGTCACTATGTTGTTTATAGATTCACGAATTTTTATGACTGATGGCTCCACCATCAAATAAGTTCGACTAAAAGTGTCTTTATCTCCGTATATAAATATATGATTGTAAAGTTTCCGTTTAACCGCATCTTGAAACTTGGAGTGTAGTGGAGCGAGCTTGGTTGCCTGGAACTGATTCAAATTCTGAACTACTTTGTCAAGAACGTCTGCTGGTAGATCACTTAGTGAAGGCATGACTTTGAAGTGGCTCGTAAATAGCTGAAATACCGCTTTTTACTCTAAGCAGTTATTTATAGATTGCATTGTATTAAACACGTGTTTTCAAAGTGGTTGTAACACTGCGTTTGGTTTGTTTTGGTTTTAGTCAGACGCAAAATTCTCTGAAGATATTTTCTTTTGCAACCAGCGGATGTTTTACCAAAGATCCAAAGTGTACAATCCACGAATGGCACAACATGATACATTGCTAATACACTCTATACACGTACAAATTTCACCCCCTGCTTCCCCCTCTCATTGCTCAATGATATAGTTTCCCGGCACTAATCCAATCTGGCCATTATATTGTTCACAATTTGGACCCAACTCACACACAAACCAATTATCTTCTTGTTTGTGAATGATATACATTTGCCAACCCTTGCGGAAATACAACTCGCCTTCCTCTTGTGGTTTGAATGAGTATCGTGCTGTAGCTTTACTTAAGTATGGCTTCTGATTAACTGGAGTGATCTTGGGTTGCAACATGAACGGGGTGTGTGGTTTTGAAAATTTGGGAGATTTAGGTAAGCCGCGATATTTGTATAGATCAGTGGGAGGAGCGTGTTGTTGTTGTTGTTGTTGTTGCTGCTGTTGCTGCTCCTGCTGTTGCTGCTGTTGTTGTTGTTGCTGAGTTTCATACTTTGGCTTCTCAACAACATCAATCATCGACTTAGGGCGCGAAAAATTGATAGAATCATAACGTTGTGCAACTTCATCGTGATCATCAATGTAATCTGATTTAGGTCTAGGTTTGACTGGACTTGACCCATTACTCCTCACTGACCTTCTGAATTGGTTGACATCGCCATCACCACCCGAGTTCAAATCCTCCAATGCCTTGGCAATGAAATCAATAGAGAAATCCTTCATTATCGGTACTTTAGTTTGTGGCTTAGGTGCATCTTCTGCATGTGCATGTTGACGACGCTTGTTGAATTCATTAGTTGCTCTACGTGTGATTTGATCTTGCATCTCTTGCAATTGTTTTTCTCTTCGTCTTGGCGAAGCCCAATTCCGGTCAGAACTATAGTTGGATGATCCTTGGCTATTGGTTAATCGATCTTCTTTAGTTGAAAATAAATCATTTTCAGGATTTGAACTGACTGTCGAATGGGTCTTGTGGGAAACTAGATCAATTGGTGGCTTCCTCGAGGGTGTCTGGTGGTGTTTGTACGGCGATAGCTTCGATGATGGTGATGGCAAACTTGACGGTGATACTGTAGGAGGAGCAAGCATTTTGTGTGGAGAGTTGTTATTAAAAATATTGGCCCTAGGAGTAGGTGTCATTTCAAGGTGTCCATTGGATATTGGCGGAAGGTCCTTGGCTGGTGTTGTGGTGAATAATTTTGTCCTTGGTGTTGGTGTTGTTTCATGATGACCATTCGATATTGGAGGTAAATCTTTTGAGAGGGGGGCATTGCTATTATACAACTTGGCTTTGGGAGTTGGCGTCATTTCATGATGATAATCTGCCGGCGTGGCCTTGGTAGGAGAGTACTGTGGTACCCGAGATTCGTTGTCATCATTATACTGGTCAGTGTGAGCCGAAGACGGTATAGTCCCTGTAGTCTTGTGCGATGAGGACGAGTAAGTCGAGTACGTTCTCGATAGTATTTCGTTGTGATCAGGGTTATGCAACGCCAGTAGCTTGTAACCAATGGTGGGCTCATCGCATCCAGTCATGTAATCAACAAAAGGCGGATCGTCGTATACCTTATTCCCCGTTCCGTAGTTGTCACTGAACTCTTGTATATCCATCTGCGGTTGTACCAAAGCAAATGTAGATCTTGCTAAATCGACCGATTGGTCTAGATCAACACATAACGTAGCTATGTTGTTGCAATAGGTGAAACAATTAATCTTCATCACTTGAATCCTCTCGATTTCTAACTTATAAAAGTCATTTATTGAAATAGTCCAGTCCCTTTTGTAAATTTCGTTAATGTCTTTGTACACAGATATGGCATATTGATAGTGCTTTGCAGTTTGCTTTATTGAACTTGTCAATTTTTGAAATTTGCTCTCATTCTTTTCCAACTCTTTGCCCCAGGTTGTTTGTAATGACAACTTTAGTGATTTGATTGCTCGGCATTCTTCTTGATATTTATCTTTATAATGATGTAAATCCTTCAATGCCGAAGCTCGCTTTAGTATAACCTTGTGCATATGATGTTTCAACTTGTCGACTTTTTTGACATATAGACTGTGAAATTGTTCTAGTTTCTCCAAATTGGACTCCAGTACTGATTTTATAAACTTTGTATTACAATCAATCATGAATTGGTTCTCGATGTGTAGCTTGTCAAGCGATTTCTTCATTGAGCCTGTTTCATGCGTCCCCAAGGGGAATTTAGACGAAAGTCTCTCTAATCGTTTGGAATGGTCCTTCTCGAGATTCACCTTCTCATGGTAAAACTGTATTAGTTCGTTTAGCGTTGACAATGCATCCTTAATCCTTGTTGTGATTATACTGAAACTGGCCTCTGGAGAAGAGCCCCAAAAGTTGTTAACAAATTCTGGAAAGTCGGGTCTACTATCTTGCAACCTCATGACGGAATCAAAAGACTTTGGATATTTTGGAGCTTGTATTGAAATAGTCTATATCTAAGTAGATGTTGATATGCAAAGTAGAGGACTAGAAAAGTAAAGTTGCCTCCCAGTTCCCTCCTCAAGTGTGTAAACACCATTGTACATATAGTTACTTATTAAATCAATGAAACGGGTAAGATGTGCTTGTGAGGTGTGTTTATATTACTTCTCAATTAGGAAAGTGTCTCCTTGTTTTGTGTCTATTTGCTTGTCAATTGTCAATTCAATGTCGTTAAATAAAATGTCAGGACATGTCACATGACAATCATGTGACATTACAAGAAATATGGAGCGGATAATGCCGCATGTCAATTCTATATGCCGTGGAATATTTTGTGTACATTGTTTGATGAACACTAGAAAAAAAAAAAGAAAAAGTCAACTAACCGGCCCGATATCAACCACAGTGAAAGGACACTAGAAAGCCCAGTTTGACACACATTTTTGTATACAAACCTATACCAAAAAACAGTGGGATACGGTAATGCGTCACAACTTGCTTCCTTCTGTCTATTGCTAAAGCAATATCATGCCATGGCATAAAAAATATCTTCATTGCTAATATTGTTGCCCCGGATTACAATCAGTGGATTTTGATTAACCGAGCTTCAAAATAATTTTCTTTTTCCTTTTTTGTTTTTATTTTTTTTTTTTTTTTTAGAATCTTCCAATTGATGTGCTCTCTACAGTCAGTACCTTATAAATATAATACATTCAGAAGCACCCAGTCACCTCTCTTTATCACGAATCGCGAGACTCGGACCCTGTGTTGTGTTGTGTTGTCATTTACCATAGAGACCACGTTTATGCTATTGTCCCATCGAATACACAGTTAAAACATTCTTCAAAGTAATGCCTGCATCAGAAACGCTACAAAGAATAAAGCAGCATAAAGCGTATATATGGCTGAAAAAAGTGTTTGACTTTCTACTAGGTCAGTGGTTCTTTATCCTATTGGGTGTCTTTGTCGCTCTTGCTCACTCATATCCTGAATTTGCCAAAGAAGGAGGCACGATAAGGGGAGAATACTCAATTGGATATGGTGCTGTTGCCGTCATTTTCCTCATTAGTGGATTATCAATGTCAACAAAGCAGTTGATTGTCAATGCTATGAATTGGAGAGCACATTTCACCGTTTTATCAATGTCCTTTTTGATCACGAGTGCCATCATCTATGGTATTGTTTGCGGTATCAAGGCATCTCATGATGGCCAAATTGATGACTGGTTGCTTGTGGGATTGATTGTTACTCATGCTTGTCCAACGACTGTTTCATCCAATGTCGTTATGACTAAACAAGCTGATGGAAATGATATCTTGACGTTATGTGAGGTGTTTATTGGTAATATCTTGGGTGCGTTCATTACACCAGCATTGATTCAAATGTATTTGACAGGTACTTGGGAGTTTGGTAACCCTAGTCATCAAGCAGAAGGTGACAACTCAGTGGGTGATCTTTATAGACATACTATGAAACAATTGGGTCTAAGTGTATTTATACCGTTGTTTGTGGGTCAAGTTGTGCAAAATGTGTTTCCCAAACAAACGAAATGGACATTGACGACATTCAAATTGAGCAAAGTTGGATCATTCATGTTGTTGTTGATTATGTTTCAATCGTTTTCAACTGCATTTGCGCAACATGCATTCACTAGTGTTTCTCATGCATCAATCATCTTTTTGGTATTTTTCAACATTGGAATTTACTTGTTCTTTACTGTGATTTCATTTGTTTACTCACGGCCATATGTCATTCGACGTTGGTTGTGGGAGATCCCCAACAAAAACTCATCAAGAGCATATCGCTGGGCTTACAACATATTCAACCCATTTTACTACAACAAGAGAGATACAGTTGCAGTAATGTTGTGCGGTCCAGCAAAGACTGCTGCATTGGGTGTGTCGTTGGTATCATCACAATATGGTGCTCATAATCCCAAATTGGGAATCTTGTTGGTTCCTCTAGTCTTGTACCAAGCTGAGCAAGTAATGACGGCAAATTTCCTTGTTGTGTTGATGAAGAAATGGATCCATTATGATGATAATAAACCAAAACCATCTGATGCCGAGAGCGAGTTGAGCCATCGTGATACGGATGAGGAAGATCGAGAAGAAGTGGAACAAGAGCGTAGATTAGAAGAAGAGGATGATCAGAGAGACGGGTTGGAAGGTGCTATTAGTCGACACAACGATGAAGACACAGCATCGTACTCAACCGACTCAAATGTAAAGAAATAGATAGACCTTAACCATAGAATTTAAATTGCATTAGTGTGAAAAACTTGCATTCTCTATCACGTAACTAAAAGCCAAATTCGCCCAACTCTTCTTCCAATTGCTTTATCGTATCGGAAATTTCGTCTTTATTGGTTATCAATGAATCTAACTCATCAAATTTCCGATCCTTAGTAAACTGTTGAATCTGATTCTCAACAAGAAACTTCTGCTCATTCAAAACCATCAACTGTTCTCGCAACTCTCGTATTTGCTTCTTTGTCAAGCGAGGGGGTGGTGGGGTTTTGTCTTTCTTCAACTCTTGTGGCTTATTTTTATCGCTAATGGCTTTGTACTTTAGCAAATTGTCATGGAGAAAAGTACCCATACCTTGATAAATATTCAACAAGATCCGGTTATATCGAAGATACTCGTCACGTACCAATAACATCTCATTCTCCTTGTGAAAGAACTTCTTTTTGAAATACAAGATCGAATTCTCCAACTCTTTCAAGCTCATGGTCAACTTATGTCCAGTTTTGGCTTCATCTTCGGTACTTATGCCTTGGTCATATACTGGCATCAATCTCTCAATATTCAGCTTCTGTAAAAGCATACCTTCATAAAGAGCAAAGATTTCTTCGTAATGGAAATCACTTGAATCATGATCCCGCTTCCAATCGTGTAATAATGCATTTTTACAATTGACACAGCACCTGAATCGTAGTTCATCGTCGCGAAGATCAAATTCGTCTCTGAATTTAGCTGAGTAGTTCAAATTAGGGAGTTTTTCAACAATTGCCGATAACGGAATATACATTGAACAATTCCGCCGTACTCCATTTGAGTCATCACACACTATCTCCCCACATAATCGACAATGATGTTTTCTAATCAAAAAGTTAAATTTTGTGAAACATATTGTGCAGTTAGTTATGTTTTCATCCTGGGCCCAATTTGCCCCAGTGATTCCCCGCTCATCATCATCGACATTTTGGAAAAGCGATAAAAGGGAGTTCTGATGGGCGTGTTTCTTCTCCACCATTAAATTGGCCAACTTGATAAAGTTTCGTTGTATCTTGGTCCGATGTAATTTGCTCAAGTTCAATTGGTCTCGACGTTTGGCAGTAAACTCATTTGTACGATCCCGAACAAAAACCTCCGTCACTCTACTTTCTTCAAAACAAGTTTCACAACACCGACACCAAACGCCATCTTTTGAAGACTCGTACTGTGGCTTCTTTTCATCTCCCATTGGGTTCCTCAATTTTACCCGATAATGAGTGTGATCGTTACAGAATAACTCTCCACATTTGCGACAATTGACAATTCCATTCTTTACATTTAGTCTCTTGCCACATATTTTGCAACTCAAATGTGATGATTGCAGCTGTGACTGTTTCCAATGTGAACGTGTGATGCCATTTCTACTGGGTGAACTAGGACTTGTATCTCTCTTTGTAATGTCACCAATGCTGAAGCCTCTGTCTGATACCGAAATCTTGTTGATCTTTTTGGTGGGTGTGACTGGACTGTCCTTGGGCGGCAGATTTGCTTTATTCTTCAAAGATAGGTTGGATTCTGGTTGCTTTGACATTGGAAGTCACTACCACTCCTTTGTACTTAGTATGGTTTACTCAAGACTAGTGCATGATATTTCTCCTTTTTTACAAAGGAAAAAGTGTCGCGCCGTTTTAGCCGTGGGTTTGTGCAATTTGCAAAGCACGACAATGCTTCTGTATAATCTGTATTCTGATTCAATCTATACAACTTTTACAAGCACAACAGTTATATCATCCTCTTTCCCTCCCAAGTACTTTTGCCCTGTCAATCGAGACAACTCCTGGGCAAAAGCACTAGGGAAATTACCATCTTTACTCACTTTCACCACTTCACTGACAAATTTCTTTGCTACGTCATTCAACTTGGCATCCTTCTTATCTTCCAAATGATCTTTCAAAAAGATTTCTATATCCTTGGGAACAACATTGTCAGTAACCCCATCGGTGGCAAACATGACTATGTCCCCCTTTTGCAAATCCCACGAGTATTCATCAGCCAATTTCGGTTCATCTATAATATATCTTCTTCCCTCCATGGCTGCTTTTCTCAATATATGTTGTGGTATTTTGGCCAATTGGTACGGGGTGTTGAAGTTGTGTGTTTGGAAATTTGTCTCCTTAACGAGCCTATACTCTCTGAATAATCCACACCATGAGTCGCCCAAGTTTGCGACACGCAATTTCAAATCGGGAGTGAAAACTCCCAAACATGCTGTAGTTCCGCCAATCTCAACTGCTTCCGATTGTAAAACTTCTTTAAACGCGTTGTCCAATACTGACTTTGGTGTTGTTGATGCATTTCCGGCACTTTCGAACCCCTTTCTCATGTTTGAGCACAACTCTCGCGATATGGCCGATGAATCATACCCAGCTTCGGACCATCCTCCAACACCATCTGCCACCCCCACTGCTATTGATCCATCCAGCACCTGTGAGGAGACAAACAAATTATCTTCGCCACTTGGTGAATCCAAAGCTGGACTTCTGTTAGATTTCTTGAACATGTTTGAGCTTGGTTTTCTATCTTTTGGTTGATAAGCCACGGCAACACTGTAGTTGGAAAACGTTGTCAATGCACTGTCGTAATTTAGGGAAGCGGTGCTGGTCGTAACTGGTGGTGAAGATGTGGATTGTGCATTTGGATTCGTGAACGATGATGATGATGATGATGTCGAGTATGATTTGCTACTACCATGAGAGCTCCACGATGAATAATCACCGCCCTCTCCGCCATTTGATGACGAGCTGGTGTATGAAAACGATCGTATTGATTTTACAGTTGATGATTTTAGTATACTGCCACCAAATGGGACGGATCTTTTCGATATTATGGAAACCAACATGGCTACAATGGCAATTATCAAGCAATATCTGAATACTCTTGCTGAAACAAGCATGTAATTCACAGGTTTCTCAAAAAAAAAAAAAAAAGCCTATGCCGTCCTATTGCCAAAGTCTCTTCCCTCTGAAAAAGGAAAGAAAACCCAAATAAAAAAAAAAGAAATACTGTGCTCGAATATACAGCTCCGCTACACACGTGATCAGTCGGCTGTAAAATAGTGTGCATGAAAAGTTGGCATATTTTCTCGCAAGTGCCCTACTGTCCACTGTCACTGCAAATTTACGTTATATCTTGTAACTTATGTAGAGCTCTAACTTCTAATTGTTGCAGCTACGCACTCACTCACATTTAACTTTTCAAACCTTAGATTTCCATGTATTAGCAGAGGGGACCCTCTTTGAAGGTTTTTTTTTTTCGAGGAGGGGGGAACCACCGTGTCGATTAATCAAACAAACCCCTGCAATTCTCACTGTGTTCGAGTTTGATTGAGCTCTACATTTGACGAATACGGCAACCATTTTTCATTCTGGAAGATTAAGGTCGTGTTTGTCATTGGACACTCGCAAACATGATTTTTGAGTAAAATTTGTAGTGAATTTGTTGCAAAAACTATGTCGGTAATACCATATGGCGTCTGACTCTAATAACAAAGCCACACCTTAAAGTAGTGACTTTACTTTACTGGAAAAATACTATAACCGTTCTAATGTTCATGTGCACCAAAGAAGAATGCGATTAAGTATATTTAACTCCAAGAGGAATGGATATTGCTTCCAAACTTGTTTGGAATGGGAAACATTTTCCTCACTGTTATAATCATAGGCACTAAGATATGTGCTTCAGAAGGGATTTGAATGCACTAGCTACCTGGGAGTGACCTAGAACGATAAAGACATCTCCAATTTTACACGTTGATAAGAGTGTCACGTGATAGTCTAATTTGCTCACTATTCAACCAATGATATTATTCACTTGCACAAACAGAAGGTAGCGCAGAATAAACACGGCCTAAAACAGAAAGGAAAAGAAAAGAAAAAAAAAAAACTTTTCATAAAGTTGCAAAGAGAGAGATTGAACGTTCAACGAAGAATTCCACAGTCCATAACAATGTCCGCTACGTTGAATGTGTTGAGATACTCCGCCTTAGGAGCTGGTGTTTTCTATGGTGCCTACCACAGATACTCATTGGAGTCTTCATTTGCCAAACAACAGGCTGCTAAGCAATGGCAACGCGAAGAAAAATTGATTGCCCAAGCTAAAGCAGAATATCAGAAATTGACCAACCCACAAGTATCAAAACCTGCAACTTCTACCCCAGGATCTATCAATTGGGAGGATCCAAACTTGGATTTGGGTAAAGCTTTGGAATCTTTGATTGCAACATTGGATTAAAGAGGTGGGGAAAAAGCAAGAGACAAACGAGAGATAGTGACAGAGCGAGACAAGATGGAGAGATAGACTTGGTTGGGACTTGATAGAGATGTAAACCAACTTGTGTATACTAGTTAAAACAGTTTAATGGAAAGTCAGAAAGAACTTTTGGTAATACAGTTGTTGTATATTGTTGTAGATGGAAGTATCACCAGTTTGCGGAGAAAAAAATAAAAAAACCGAGGTGATTATGAAATTCCAATTTTGAAGGGCAACGTTCAAACCAATCTATATATATATATATATATACCAGAACAGCATTACCATGAGCAATAGCAGACAGTTACCATTTGCTGATGCAGCTACTATAGGTATGTATAGTCTATTTCAGTTGGCATGTCCATGTTCCTTACTAACACACGCACACCACAGTGAGAGCCCATCAAAAAGATGCCTACTTTGAGTCTTCCTATAGGAGCCAACTTCAAGATTTGATCCTGATGATCAAAGGTCAGCGGTTTATCAACGCCCATCCAGAGGAAATAACGGTCTTTGCCAAGGCGATATACTTGGCACTAACTACGCTTATTGGTGCTAGAACATTGGGTGAGGAGTATGTGGATTTAATCTATGTCACTCGATCGGGAAAGAAATTACCAAGATTGCTACCGAGACTCGGTTTTGTTGTGGCATATGCATTGATTCCATACTTGATTAACAAGACAATCAAATATGCAAAGTTGAGGAAAGAACGGAACCTTGAAGAAAACAAAAAGCCGGACTCATGGTTAACCAAGTTTTTTTCGAGTTATACTGACGTCTTGGATACCTTGTTGAATCTTCATATTGCTATATTTTATTTCAAGGGTGAATTTTACTCATTATCGAAAAGACTCTTTGGTCTCCGCTATGCATTCGGCCACCACAAGGAGCCTGAAAAGATGCAACGTGGAAATTACTCGCTTCTTGGTGCTTTAATGATTATACAGATTGCAGTAAAGTCGCTAATGAACTTGAAGGAGTACAGTGATGAGTACTTGAACAAAGAAGAACCAAGTAAGGAAAACTCAGCTTTGAATGAGAGAAATGATGCAAAAATTACCAGTATAACCCAGTTGAGTCATTTAAGTGACAATTTTGATTCCAAGCACTTGATTGATTTGAGCGATGACTCGCAATTACCATATTTACAGAACGAATCGAGAAATTGCATGTTGTGCTTGTCCCCCATGGTGACACCATCGGCAGCAAATTGTGGACATTTATTTTGCTGGGATTGCATAGTTGACTGGATAAGAGAGAATCCAGAATGCCCATTATGTAGACAGCAGTGTTTAGAACAACACTTGCTACCATTGAAGTAGTTAGTGTGACACGTCTTTAGACTAATAATGTATGTTGGTTGATGGAAAAAAAAAAAAATTGTAAAAGAAGAAAGAAATAAAAAAATTAAAGTAAACAACTTCAATACAACTCTGATCTACGTGCATCTTAACAAACGATTTTCATCAATGAGTGGGAGTTACTCATTGCCGTATTCCAATCATGCGGACGAATCTCAGCAATATCTGAAAACTTTCAAACCCAATCAAAAAATCTCCATACAGGACTCCATTCTTCATCAGATAACAAAGCATAAGCGTATCGTTCTTTTGATTGTTACATTTATATGCTTGTCGTTATTTACAAATGTTCCATATATACCACATCTAAGATCGTCATCACCCAAAGTTGTTATAATATTGGCTGCTAATGAAGGTGGTGGTGTACTCAAGTGGAAATCACCACAAGAATGGTCAATTGAGAGATCTTCCATAGCGAATAAAAAAAACTATGCTAAGAAACATGGATATGGGTTAACGATCAAGGACATGACTATCAAAAAGAGATACTCACACGAGTGGAGAGAAAGTTGGGAGAAGGTGGACCTCTTGAAGCAAACAATGAGACAATTCCCAGACACAGAGTGGTTTTGGTGGTTGGATCTACATACATACATCATGGAACCACAAATTTCATTGGAACAACATTTTTTGAATAATTTGGACAATGCTACGTATAGGACATTGGAAACGTTTAACCCCTTGGGCTTGGCTGTTGATATTCCATATGTTGATTACTCACAACCAATAGATATGATTATAACTCAAGATTGTGGTGGGTTCAACTTGGGGTCATTCTTGCTTCGTCGCTCTCAATGGTCGGAAATGTTGTTGGATGTCTGGTGGGATCCAGCAATGTATGAGCAGATGCATATGCAGTGGGAGCATAAGGAACAAGATGCTTTGGAGACGTTGTACTCGACTCAATCGTGGATTAGAGAAAGAACTGCTTTTTTACCCTTGAGAACTATCAATGCATTCCCACCGGGTGCTTGTTCTGATAAAGCCGACGATCCACAGTATTTCTTTAAGGAGCATGATTTTGTTATTAATATGGCTGGTTGCGAGTGGGGTCGTGATTGCTGGGGCGAAATGGAACATTACAAGGCATTGTCGAAGAAACTACACAAGAAATGGTGGAAATTCTGGTAAACTAGATACAAAGTAAACACCACATATGTAGTTTTTGAAATAGGTAGAATGAACTTGGTAGCATCGTTAAAGTTGAAAAGTCGTGTAGGAAAACAAGAACGAAAAAAAAAAACAAAAAAACTACACTTTTGCGAACTTTACAACTACATGGCATATAAACACACAAGAGGTTACTTCGTTATTCAGTGTTCCATCGACAAGATTACAAATAGAACCGAATAGTAATGGCAGACCCAAACTGGCTCAGCGACCCAAGCTTTATGGATAACTCGGGAGATGACTTTTTGAATTCTATTTTTGACCAAAACCAGGGTCAGGCAACCAGCCAGGGTCAGCAGCTCCAGCAGCAAGCTCCAGAAGCATCCCAGCAGCAACAACTGCAACCACCGCCACCACAACCACAACCACAACCGCAGTCACAGCAACAACCGCGACCACAACCACATCAAACTCAACAATTTCAACAACAACCCCAGGCACATTTTTTTCAGCAGCAAACACAACTGCCACTGACTATGCAATTCCCAGGGCCAGGACTGCAATCAAACACACCACAGATGCGCTCAGGTAATATGACACAGCAAGTACCTGCACAGAACTTTCCTACCCAGCAACAAATTCCGCAGCAATTTCTGGGATCTCAGGACTTGAATTCGATGTATCAGAGACAAGCATCTCAACAAATGAACCAGAATAAACAGGAGATGCTTTTGAAAATGAAGCAACAAATACATAGACAGAAAATGCAAGCACAAGCACAGGCGCAAGCACAAGCACAGTCACAAGGTCCAGCACAAATTCAGACCCTGCCTCAAAATCCAACACCAACTCAATATCTGCTTCAGACTGATTTGTCACGTCATGTATCTCCTCATGGCTCTCAAGTACCGACACCGGGACCTATGCAAGGCACACCAGCCATGGGGAACATGAGTAATAATGCTAACTTTCAGGCATTCCCGCACCAATCGCAACAACAAACGCCTCGTATGCCACAGCAAAATGTGCCACAACAGCTGCAGCAATTTCCAATGGCACAAAATCAAGCATTCCAACAGCAAGCAACTCCGTTGCAGCAACAGCCACAGCAGCAGCAGCAGAGGATGCAACAGAAGGCTTCAATAAGCACACAGATAAGTTCTGAAACTTTCCATGCACTTTTGTCTGACTTCATGAATCGTCGCGGAACTCCAATTCCACAACCAATCTTCATCAACAACAAGCGCGTAAGTCTCTTTATGTTTTTCTTGTTGTGTTCAAAGTTGGGTGGCCATCAACAATTGAAGAGGTTTGTAAATATTGATTTTCAGCAACAGCAGCGTAATCCATGGGCATTGATTGGAATGAAGATGGGTCTTTACGCGGGAGCAAATTTGCAGGAACCCGGTGTAAAGGAAAGCTTGGACAGAGAAGTGTGTGCTTGCTATACCACGTACATATTACCATATGAGGAATATTACGCTACTCCGGCTGGACAAAGAGATCTTCTGCAACGAAAGACCCAATTTCAAAGTCAAATCATTCAAAAGTATCAACAACAATTACAGCAGCAACAGCAACAGTTTAGTCAGCAACTGCCTCAAACTCAACCTCAGTTCACTCCATCATTTTCACCAAATGTGGTTGGTGGCCCTACCCCAGTGATGGGAGTAGGCACCCAACAAAGTCCAAAAGCCAGTAACGCGCCTACGCCGCAACAACGTAAGATGTCAAGAACTAGTAACTTGTCGAACAATAATTCTCCACAGGTAAACTCGCCGTATGTCCAGAATCAACAGTTCAAGCAACAGCAGCCACCACAGGGTCAACAAACTACACCTCAATTTGGTTCACAACACAACACTCCTCAAGTACATTCAAAGCCAACCCCTCAGTTTCCACAGCAACCATTACCTCAACAACAACAGCCTTCGCAACAGCAATTTCCTAAACAATTTTCACCTGCGCAACAGAGCCAAGGCTCTCAATTGGCAGGGGCTCAATTTCCGGGGCAACAGCAACAACAGCAGCAGCAAATACAATCACAACAGCAACGTCAAAAGCAGCAACAACAGAGACAGTATCAGCTTCAGCAACAGCAACAGCTCCTGCAACAGCAACAGCAACAGCAACAGCAGCCACCGTCTACTCCATTTCCAGCAGGGCAGCAATCTTTCGGCCAACAGTCGAGACATCCTCTGTTTCAACAGCAACAACAGCCGCCACAATCTGCTACCAGACAGCCTTCACAACCTTCCACTGCCACTGCCACTTCCACTGCCACTGCCGCTGCCGCTGCCGCTGCGAATATCAAGAAAGAGATTAGCAAAGAGGAAGCAAACGTTTTACGAAACTACGTGCCTTTCAAGAGAATCATTGATACTCATGGAAATCATCACATGAAAGAACTTTCAATGCTTTCCGGTGAAATTGAAGCGACAAAGCCAATATATTTATTTGCGCCAGAATTGGGCACAATAAACTTGCAAGCATTGTGCATGGCAATCAAAAGCGATCAAGGTATTCAAAGCTCAGAAGTGGTGAATGCGTTGAACACCTTGTTGGTGACCACCTCTGATGCCAATTACACATTTGCAATAAATGATTGTATTGAATTGTTGGATTCATTGTGTAAATTGGGTAAAGAGGTTTTGCACAAGGTAGTCCATGGCCTGTCTTCAAAGAGGGATGTTGTTGAAGAGGATGTAACGAAATTGAATACCCATAGTACCATTGATGACGTGTTCAACAAATACGTTGGTGGTGGGGCCAAGGGTGAAGATATTCTGTACGTTGTCAATTCTTTGACTGGTGAGTTGATGTGTGAAGAAGATGAGGATGAAGATCAAATTAATACATTGTTTGATTTTGTTGAAGGCGATAACGCAGGGTCACCTCAATCCACTCAGTCATCACCGCCACCACCATCCTCGTCGTCCTCGTCGTCCTCCTCAGTATCAGATGAGCCCAAGGAGTTTCACATTGATGATTACTCAACTGCGTTGCAGAATTTCAAATTTGAGAATAGGAACCATTTTAGTAAATTGCAAACCAAGAGTGCTACTAATGATCAAGTCTTTCTCATTGATGAATTGATTACAATCACTATGATCTTGAGAAATATCTCATTTTCTGAATTCAATAAGGAAGTGTTGGCCAATAATGGTTTGTTTCGGGGATTGCTATTCTCAATAGTCAAGAACATTGCCATGCACCGAGACAAGTTTATGTTTAGTAGGAAGAGGTTGTGCTTACTCAAGGACTGTCTTTTGATGTTGGATAACATCTCCTACTTTGTGCAATTGCAATCGTTAGAAGAAGCCTTCCTTGCTTACGTGTTGATTACCAGTTTTGGACCTAAAATTAAGCAGGTGTGGACGATTCCAAGATGCAATTTAGACACTCATTCGTATTTCTCATTTGCAATTGATGCGTTCACAAAATTGTTGGTGAGAGAACCTTACAACAGGTCTTTATTGCATGCGATCATGACGGGAAGTTTGAATTTGGGAATGACTACGAGCTATGTCAATAGTTTTGTTGTGTCGCAACAAGACCACGAACATACTAAGAAGTTGATCAACTTGTATTTAGGTGAAGGTGCCAAGGACCTCAAGCATGGTGTCTTGTTAACCAGGGCATTCCAGCTGTTGATGAGTATCATCCCATTTGATGCCAATAGTTTTGAGTTTTCAAAGTTTATCTTTCTCAGAGCGCCCACGATTTCCCAAATGCTTTTTGGCGTTAAATTGATAATTGACATGGCACCAATCAATGATTTGCAAACTCTTTCAGACAAGGTCACATTATACTGGATTTTGTACAATCGAGAGTTGATATTGGGGAACTTTGTTAGAATTGTGGTTGCATTGGCTTCTGAAACTGGGAAATTCCCGAAAGAATCACCCGAGCATTCGATTTTGTCCTCCTGCTTGACAAAAGCATTGATTACAGTTAATTCTCTTGTTGAAAATGCAGTTGTTGCTAGAAACATTGAGTATTCCGGAGAAACTGGTTATCGAAATGCTGATTTGATGAATGAATTGACTGATTGTTATGCATTTCCAAGAATTATCCCTGATATCAATTTAACTTTGGATACGTTTTTGGCTCCTACAATTGACAATGGGTTGGGAAAAGAGATTGTTCGATTATTGCGGTATTTGAAGGATTTGAAAGCTTGTGAAGGAATATGACTAGAGGAGATGGAAACGAGCCAAGGGAGGAGCAACAACTGGGATGTCGTTGGTTGAAACAAACGCACATGTAATATATTGTGTTAATAGAGTGTAACTAACTATAATATAGGCTAATTGAAGGAACACGAACTCAGTTGTGTGGGATTTACACGAGGAATTGAACAGTTGCAAATAGGGGAGCGCAAATGCGAAAGCTACAGAGCAAATATTGACAATAGTAAAATCTATTACCCAAAACGACATGTACTTCGTGCGGGTTTCAAGTAACCGCCGCTTAGATAACACGACTTTTGCTTGGTGGAGTGGAGTTGGCGAGGTTGTACTGCTTATCTCTTTACCATTATGTATGTGAGTTGCGCTGTTGCGCCTTTTGTTGAGGGCGAGATAAGCATCGAACACAAAGACACCGGAATCCATAGAGAACCAAAATGTATGGGGAAGTGCTCAATAACCGCAACCCCACCATGAATGATCTGAGAAGGAGAGCAAAGGGCCCCCGAATCGTGTCGTCTGATTGAGTGCTCTTTTGAGTAGTTGTTACTTTTCACGGGAACTAGCTGTGGTTGTATGCAAGATAAAGCATCACTTTAAAACTATATCGTAATATACAACACTGTAGTAGCTTATTTTTAGAAATGAGCAACCGTTGTGTCAGTCGTAGTATCAAGCGTCTATCAATCAATGATAGCCTCTTGCAATTTGGATCTCAAACAATGAGGTGACGGAAAGGAATTGAGGGGATACAATGTTTCCAAAAAGATCCGAGATCTTTAAAGTTGCAAAATTTGGGAATTAACGTATTTTTTTTTTTTGCTTTTTTGCTTTTTTGTAAATATTGGCTGTTTTAACTGATAAGCACACATCAGAATGCATTACTTTAACCAATTAGGGTATATCTATCCAAAATCAAAAGAAGGCTATTGTAATTTATCAAAAGAATTTCCTTAAACTTACTCCAACATGCTTGTTGCAAATTACTAGTATATAAATACCTTTTCAGTACCCTTCTTCCTTGCAGTTCACTTGACAAAACGTCTCTCCTACAAATAACCTACTACCACTCAACTTCAAATATCAAAAGCATGACTCCAGCTCAAGTTGCTTCCAGGACTCAACTTGTTCCTCCTCAATTAGACTCAACGATCCCAACACAAGATACCGCCGGTATTGCTGCTGGTGCTGGTGCTACTGCCACCACTGCACCTCCTTTATTAGCCGGTGAACACACATTACCTGCAAGTTGGTGGTTCAATGAAAACATCTTCAACTTGGAGAAACGGGCCATATTCCATAACTCGTGGCTATTCTGCACCCATAGCTCAAGATTCACTAAACCAGGCGACTACTACTCATTTCAAGTTGCCGGGATCAAATTCTTTATCATCAAATCGAGAGGTGGTGACACTGATGGTGAATTGAAGGCATTTCATAACGTATGCCGCCATCGTGCTTTCCCTGTGGTGCAAAAACAGTCTGGTACAAGCACAGTCTTGACTTGTAAGTATCATGGATGGAGTTACAACTCACAAGGGAAATTATCCAATGCTCCGCAATTTGACCAAGTTGAAGGATTTGACAAGTCGGAGAATTCATTGTATCCCATCAAGATTCACGTTACGAAGCAAGGATTAGTTTTTGTCAATTTCAACAGTGGCGATGATGTGGTTCCATTTGATGCTTGGTTTGATGGATTGTCTCAAGAATTGCTGGAATTTGATTTTAATGATTACGAGTACCACATGAGTTATGAATTACACGGTGATTTCAATTGGAAAACGTTGATGGATGGGTACCAGGAATGCTATCATTGTCCAGTTGCTCATCCGGGATTGAATTCTGCCTTCAAGATGGAGACGTACAAGGTTGTGCCAAAGAATAGATACTGTCGTCATTATGCAACAATTGTTCGAGATGGAGAAAATACGCAGTCCAAGAAGGAGAAAGAAGAGGTTGAAGCATCAAAGGAGAGTTCCTCATCATCATCATCATCTTCTTCTTCTTCTTCGTGGTTTGGGTTTGGGAAAAAGCAATCACCAAAAGAGTCCACTGCATCAGCTGCCCCACCACCTCAAAAGAAAACTTCTGCCAACAAGGGTGGTGAATTTGACGGATTATGGGTTTACTTGTTCCCCAACAACGGAGTCAACTGTTACTCTCCCGCATGGTACTCGATCCGAGTCTTGCCCATCTCCGCCACAAAGACAACATTACAATACGACATCTACACCAAAAAGGGTATAGATGAAGAGACCAAGAATGAATTTGTGGAATTTTTGCAACAAGTTGAATTGGAGGATTTCAACTTGTGTCAATTGACGCAGCAAAACTTGAACGAAGGGGTTTACAGTTCGGGTTACTTGCATCCTGTGAAGGAGAATGGGGTCTTGTATTATCAGAAGTTGGTGCGTGATGCCGTTATCAAGCATTTGGAGTTGGAGAAACTGCAGAATGGTGGAAGGAGTATTGATCCTGCTGTTATTCCTGGTCTGAAGAAGAATAAGGATCTTGAACAATTGGAGGGGATTTGCCTGTCGCTTGATTGTGCTAGTGGTACAAACAATGGAGAACTTAGTTGGTGATGTTTGTAGAGAAAGGAAGGGGACAAAGTCTTTGCTCCATAATTTTATGTAATCGTTGTATTTTCAATAGAAGAGAATCAATTAAATATATATATATATACATAACATATAGCTTTACCGCTCTATTACGAGGATCTTTTTTTGTTTAGAGGAGTCCCAACTTCTCCATTCTCACCTCGACTGCTCTTCTATGAGCTTCCAATCCTTCAACCGCTGCCAAAGTCATGACGGCCTTCCCGATACTTTTCAATCCTTGTTCAGTCACATCTTGCGAAGTAATGAATTTCTGGAATGTGGCCGTATTGACTCCCGAATATTGTCTAGCGTATCCATAGGTTGGCAAAGTGTGATTTGTTCCACTTGAATAATCACCACATGATTCTGGTGACAATGCACCAACAAACACCGAACCGGCATTCTCAATGTAATCGGGGACAAATGACGATGCTTTATTGATTTGTAAGATCAAATGTTCTGGTGCGTATTGATTGGACAAGTCAAAGGCGTCCTTGTATGATTTGGCGAGTAAGATGTATGAGTGAGATAAACATTTGGCAACTATTTCCTTTCTTGGCAACACCAGAGCTTGTTTAGTCACTGCTTGTTGAAATTCCTGCAATTTAGATGATGACAATCCAACTCCAATCAAGATAACTTGAGAATCAATACCATGTTCAGCTTGTGAAAGTAAATCGCTAGCTACGAAATCAGCATCAGCGTCCTCATCAGCAATGACCAACACTTCACTAGGACCAGCTGGCATGTCAATTGAGCACAATGCTTGTGTGTCATTCTGTACATACATCTTGGCAGCAGTAACAAATTGATTACCAGGACCCAAAATCTTATCACATTTGATCACAGATTCAGTACCGTATGCCAATGCAGTTATAGCCTGTGCCCCACCAGCCATGACAATACAAGAAGCCCCCAACTTGTGAGCAACGTAAACAACTTCGGGAGTCAATTGACCTGTGCTTCTGGAAGGTGGAGATGCAATGACAATGTTTTTACAACCAGCCACTTTTGCCGGCACACCCAACATCATTGCCGTTGAAGGCAAGACTGCGGTACCTCCCGGAACATAAAGTCCAACATTTTCAATTGGTTTGGCGAATCTGGAGCAGTATACACCTGGTGCTGTCTCAACAGTCATTACAGCATCCTTGGGCAATTGAGCAGCATGGAATTTTTCAATGTTTGCCATTGACAAGTCAATAGCGTCCTTCATTTCCTGAGAGATGTTCATGAGTGATTCGGGGAATGGGGATGAGAGTACTGGTGCGTCCAAAGTTACTCCGTCGAATTTTGCCGTCAATTCCAACAATGCTTTATCCCCATTTGATTTAACGTTTTCAATGATGGGTAATACTAACTTCATGATTTCAGATGTTTTTTGTGCTGGTCTAGCCATAGCCTTGGCGATACCTGGGGAGGATAAATCACCAGCATCGATCACCTCCAATTGATAATCATCATTCTGTGGTAGCTTTTGTTCTGGTTGTGCAGCAACTTTCTTGTCATTCTTCTTTTGTTCCTTCTCCAAGTATGCAGGCTTGGCATCGCCTTTTCTTCTAGTCACCTTCAATGATTTCACATCAAGGTTCTTTTCAACGTCACTCAAGGAAACGCCGTTTTTAACACACCAACACATTACAAAATACAACAAATCTGCCGCTTCCCAAGCGACTTCGTTCTTGTCACCTTTGGCATCAATCAATTCATCCAATTCTTCCTTTAATTTAGCAATCAACAACGATTCATCATTAAACAACCGTTTAGAATATGATCCCTCAGGAGCATTTTCAAATCGATCTTGTAAAGTGGCATCCAATTTCGACAAACCGTGTCCATTGTCGCGTTGCAAATCGTCACCAAAACACGTATACTTGGTCGATTTGTGACAAAAGCCATACCCTTTACGATTCTCAACCACAAATTTAACCACATCGGAATCACAATCTTTGGAAACTTGTAGTAATGTTTGAGTGGCGCCACTAGTTTTGCCCTTGTACCATAATTCATGAGTTCTCTTTCTCGATTGGTAAACACCAACTTTCTCATCAATGGCAGCAATTATGGATTCCTTAGATGAATAGACAATACCCAATGCTGTGTATTGGGGAGCGGGAGATGTGATTAACGTAGTAAACAATCCATCTGGTCTGTCAGTGACTAAAGTATTGACGAACGCGGAGGAGATTGATATCTTGTTGGACTCGTGTTTGGCAGTGGTGAGGGAACTAGATGGTACGATGATGGTGTATCCCAATTTAGCCAATTCATCAACTTTATCTTGAGTTGGGGCAGATGCACTGGAAAAGTCAAAATAGATATCCCTATTCTCGTCATCGTTGTGTTTCTTCAAATCGTCCAATTCTGCATCAACAATCAAAGACAGCTTAGATGAGGCAAGTGTACTGGCAAACCTATCTTCAGGTAAACCAGCCTCCACAACTGACTTGTACTGTGACTCGTCGCGAATGAAAACTTTCTCCACTCCCAAATTCAACAACTCAGTAATTTGATCGACACTTACCTCTTTGCCAACTTGGACAAATACCGACAAATGTGGTGAAAATTGTTGTATCCAATGCTTGCTCAACTTGAGTGAGTCATACGCAAACAAAACTTGACCTGTGATACTCAAGTTTTCAAGTTGTGCATCCTCTGGTGATAGAATGAATGGTAAGATAGGAAAACTCATGGTTTATAATGAACAGTCTGTAATGTACTGTGTTGCCACTCCTCTTATCAATTTTACAGTTTCGTTACCATAAAAACCTTTTATTGCAAATTTTTTTTTTTTTTTTTTTTTCGTTCTTGACCAAACAGAGAGAGCAAAAAATAAAATGGACTTATGAACAAAATGACTAATCAATACAATATACAAAGACAATAGATTCTACTCTATAGAGATTTACATCATTTCTTCTTACAACATATGCACATTTTTCCCTAAATATCATTATCATTAATATATGTATATATATATTTACCTCATACGTATGTACAACCCCTCACACCCCACCTAGAAGTTGAATTCTCCTCTGAACTGATTCAAATCCATATTAGGTTTAACCAATTCTACCAAGTCTCTTCTCTCCATTGAAATAAATGCTCTTTTCAAAGTCTCAGTCAATGCTGTTGACTGATTATGGTTCAATGACGAGGATCCAGAATCGACTCCTTCAACTTGGTGCATTGACAATCCCGACAAAAGATGTTCAGCAGCCTCTTTATAGCACCCGATATTTATACAAGAAACTCCCAAATTGTATCTTGCTCGTACAAATGTAGGTTTCAATTGCAATGCCTTGAAATACGCATCGACTGCTTCCTCTGAACGGTTGGAATTTGCTAAAGAAGCACCCAATCTATTCCACAAGATTGGATCGTTTGGTCTTATGGATAATGCAGCTTTGAAACAATCAATGGTCTTGTCGAAATCTTCATTGGCGTAAAACAATACACCCAATCCCATTTGCACATCGGCATCCATACTAGCCCCATCGGGTGATAACTGGGCCGCTTTCAAAAAGAGGTCAGTAACACGTTTGTTTAATGAAAAACGATCTTCATCGGTCAATTCAGGATTTTCTCTCCTTGCTTGTTCGGCAATTTGTGGGTATTTTGTTGAAATCCATCTTTCCAATGTTGCAAAAGCAGCATTATCATAACCTTCATTGATGTAGGATATTGCCAAGTTCATCAATGCCTCTGAATTTTCCGGATGCAATTCAAGACACTTTTCCAATGCAGTTATACCAGCAATTTCCTTTTCATTCTGCGTTTGTACTTCACCCAACTTCAACCATGCATCAACATGATTTTGATCTTTTTGAATAGCAGCCTCAAAAGCCAAAGCAGCTTCAGATAACTTGGCACCATTCTCCATCAACTCAATACCAATGTGGTATGGATCTTGATCTGCTGGCAAATCCATAAATTGATTATCTTTACTATCTTCAAACTTGTAATCACCAAAATGGGCTCTTGTTGAAGCATATTTAGCAAAATCTCTCTCCCATAGATTCATATCGGGCGGATACGTTTCGCCTTGAGTGTTTTTGAAATCTTCATATTGACGTTCAATAAAATCATTTTCAAATGACTCCGAATTGAGACTATCCCAAACTTCTTGGAAAGTGGCTTGATATTTATCGTCAATTATTATGTCATCTTTGTCATCAGCAACTTTAGCCTCAGCTTCAGTCTCCTTGGCTTGTTCCGAGAGCTCTTCAATCTTTTTAAACTGGTCATCCCAATCAACTTGCTGCTCAGTATCTTGCTTTTGGTCTTGTCTCTGCATTTGCTGTGGTTGTTGTTGTTGTTGTTGNGTTGTTGTTGTTGGTACGCAGACATACCCATAGAGCTGCTCATCATTGGACGATAAGACATCATTGACGCACCGCCCCCACCATATCTTGAAAAAGGCTGGTTGTATTGCTGTTGGTTCTGATGCTGTTGTAGTGTTTGTGGCTGTTGCGGCGCCGTTTGAAACTCATTAGCCCATTGAGTGTTAACTGGTGCAGCATTTTTGATCATTGGTGACGCAACTTGTGGTGCTGGCGAGTGAGACTGTTGTTTGAAATCTTGTGACCAGTTGTTGTTTTGCTGATGTTGAGCTGATGGATGCTGTTGCTGCACATGGTTCAATTCGTGTCTCATTTGTTGAAACTGAAATGATGAACCTTGGGGAGCGGCATTATTCATAAAGTGTTCCAAATTCTGTCTGTCTCTAGCATTGATTAGATTATCCCTTTTGAAGCCTTGGTTTTGAATGACTCCACCAAGTGGAGGTTGTTGAGAAGCTTGTTGTTGTAAAGATCGGTCCTGTTGAGTGTGTTTGTTTAACTGAGAAACAACGTTATTGTTAACAGCACATTCTGATCCTCCACCGACAAATGACATATTGCAGAACTATAAGAGAATGAGTGTAGATGATGATAGTAGTGGTAATATGTGCAGAGTAGATGTATCTAACCTTGAATAAGATGAATAAAACGTGTAAATCAAGATAATCCAAACTCTGATGAATAAATGATGATGATTAATATGATTTGCCCCTCTTTTTCTTTTTCTTTTTTTCAATCTCTTACCCCCTCCTCTCCCCCCTCACCCCCCACGCACAAAACAGAAAGCAAACAGAAAAAAAAAAAAATAAAATCATCGTCACCCTTTCCCTTTTTTTCTCCACTGTAGACTACAAGCAGCACGTGATCATTACAGCATTATATGCAGAATTCCAACCTCGGGTATTTTCAGACAAAAGAATGAATAGACACACTAACATATTAGCATTCTCACGATAAAGAAAACAGCCGAGTCAGAGACAAAACTTAGAGTGTAGGTACATCACATGCGAGAACCATCTTTCTCTCTCTCTCTCGCACTGCCCCTTTCATTGACTTTACTCCTAGTTGCCAGTAATATACTAGTAGAAGTGATTCAACTCAATCGGCATAATAACCAAAAAAAATAAAAATAAAAAAAAAAATAAAAAGCAAAGAGATTACATAAAAAAAAAGAATAGTTTGCGACACGACACTGAATGTATCATGAACGACATATCCACGACATTTACCTGAATTTTACAATGTCGCAAAATTCATCTCCATTCATCATCAATCATCTCATTATAAAAATCTCATTGAAAAAAAAAAATTTTTTTTCTTTTTTACATTTTTCTTTCTAAAACTAAAATCAGATAAACATATCTCTACTTGCAGTGCGGTTTCAATCACACCATGCAGAGTCACCCATTGAACAAGCAGTGGGGTCAATGCTCTTCCCATTGATATCCTTTGTCCTTTTTTTTTGTGAGTTTCATCTTCGAGGAGTTGTCTTGAATGGCGCTTGAAAAGAAACAATAATACTACAAGTTGATTGTGGAATATGGATGGTAAATACATTTACATCCAGCTTTCGCACTCTTTGCAACTTGCAGTTGAAATTTGGTTTTTTTGACAGGAAGAAGCGTCCAAAAACTGCTTGTGACCGACCGCTATTGTTACACGAGATATGCCATTTGGAAAACCTCCACTTGTCAAAAACAAACAAAAGAAGAAGGTGTGTGCTTATACTAATCAGCTCATTCTTTTCCACTTTTCAGCACAAAAACAACTCGACTTCCTTTTCCTTACTTCCTTTGATGTTCAATTTCTGTTGATGATGATTACATTAAAACTCAGCTCAACCATAGTGTAGCAATTTTTGTTATACGCTGAAGATACCTACATGTTCTCCAACGTAAATAATTTGAATCTGACAATACAGAATTGATCGCCAATGGAAAGTTTAGAGAGGACCAGGATGGAAATTTGAAAAGTGTAAAAGAAGTGAATACTTTCTTCCTCTAAAATCTAACGAAATTACAAATACACATTTTCTTCTCTCATTAATCCATAGTAGCCCCACATCATGCTCCTTTCTTCCCTACTAATTTTTTCTTTGATACAATT